ATCTCCGTAATTAAATATATCTATTCCCAGATATCTAAACCTTGCTTCCTGCTTTAATATTTTCCCATAAATTTTCATTCTAATTCGAAGTGGGTATTTATATGTGTCATACATTTGGTTTTTTCTGCTGATATTATCATATTGTATTTCTTTGCTGTTGTATAGAAGATGTGTGTTAATCTTTGGAGCTCGTCTTCTGTCTCGGCGATTAATAAGGCGTCGTCTGCATAACATAATATTTGGATTTGTTTGTTCCCCATTCTGCTTGTATTATTTCGTCCATTATTATAGTAAAGAGAAGTGGGCTTAACGAGTCACTATGTCTAACTCCGCTTTGTACTGGTATACACTGTGTTAGTTTTCCATTTATCTTTGCCCGTATTCGATTATGGAAGTAGATGTTTAACATAGTTTCTATAATATTAATTGGTATGGTTCTTTTATACAGTAGGTGTAAGACGTCTTCGACTTGGATGCTACTCGATGGTTTTTTCTGTGATTTGTCTTAGTACAAATACAGCGTCTACGTGGGATCTTCCGAATCTGAATCCTTGTTGTTCATGTGATAAAGTCGTTAGTTTATTGATTTTGTTGGTTAGGACTTAGGTAATCTTACGTGCGATGTTCAGTAGATTTATAGCTCTATAATTGTTGGAGTCTTTTTATCTCATTTCTTGAACATTGGTATCACTATGCTGTTTCTCCGTGCGTCTGGTATCTTACAGTGCAATATTAGTTTTTGTATAATTTTTGTCATCTTTAGGGTTATACTTTCCCCTCCGTGTTTTAGAAGCTCGTTGGTTATATACCATTCATACCATTCATACATTCCGTGTTTTAGAAGCTCGTTGGTTATATACCAATCATACCAGTCATACCATTCATACCATTCATACCATTCATACCATTCATACCATTCATACCATTCATACCATTCATACCACTCATACCATTCATACCATTCATACAATTCATAACATTCATACCATTCATACCATTCATACCATTCATACCATTCATACCATTCATACCATTTATACCATTCATACCATTCATACTATTCATACCATTCATACCATTCATACATTGGTTTCTTATGAATCTCCATATTTGTTATTGTGTACGGTAGAAGTCGCAAGTCGCTTTCCATTCTTTTTGTAAACTGTTTTTGCAAATGTAATCTTTTGTTTTGTAAACTTTTTGTAAACTATTCCCAGTGTTCATTTTTTGTTGTTCTTACCAACTGCTTTGTTTCATTTCGTATTCTTCTATAGGTGTCTCAGGATTCTGGAGTATTTGATATTTTATACTTCGTGTAGGCCTTTCGTTTCTCTTTACATTTCTCTTTTATTTCTTTTCTCAACCATGCTGTATTTTTACTTCTTCTATTCAGTATGACTTTGCGTTTTACTAGAGCTTCTGTTGCTGCTTCTTCAATGTTGTTTTTAATTTTCTCCCAACTCGCGTATATATCTTCGATATCGTCTGGGTAAGATTTGGTTTGAATTAGTTAAATAATGATTATTTTATACTTCTGAATAGAGTTCCATCATATTTCAACCCTTAAAAAGCAACCCCTGTTAGAGATTAATGTAAAAAATTACTAATTCTAAAAAAATGATTTCGCCTTGGATCGATTTGGATAAAAATTTGGCTCAGTTCACCCGCTGCTTTATAGTTTATGTCATGTAGACGAACCCTGATTGTTCTTAGGGGTGAAAACTAGCCCTAATTGTCAAAAATTATAAAATAACATATTAAACCTGAATATGGGTAAAATTTAGTTTGAATTAATTAAATAATGATAGTTTCGTGCTTTTGAATAAAGTTCCATCATATTTCAACCCTTAAAAAGCGACCCTTGTTAGAGATTAATGTAAAAAAATTAGTAATGCGAAGAAAATGATTTCGCCTTGGAAAAATTTGCATAAAAAATTGGAATAAAGCTTAACTCACCCTCTGCTTTATAGTTTATGTCATGCCGATGAACCCTGATTGTTCTTAGGGGTGAAAACTACCCCTAATTTTCAAAAATTGTAAAATAACATTACAAATCTTAAGATGAGTGAAATTTGGTTTGGATTAGTTACATACTGATTTTTTTATACTTTATAATACAATTTCATACATTTTCAACCCTTAAAATCAATTGTTATGAGTGCTATAGGTAAAAACAATTTTTTGCCAAAATTTTGCAACTTTTCAACTTTTGAAAATCACCCTTTACAATATTGCAGTTGTAAAGGGTGCAGTTTATAAACTAATTTAATAGATATAAATTGAAGAAAGTAGAATTAAATACAAAAAAATTTATCAATATAAAAAGGCGCCATATATTCTTATACATTTACATAAATAGTTGAAAATATTTACGTTTATAGGTAAAACAATTATAATATTAATTTTATTCGTCATCAATTACATCTTCATCGTGATCTATGTCATCCTCCTGGACTATTATTGCACCCTTCACCTGAGCACCTAGAACAAGTAAAATTACAGTACAAACCAACTTTTCTGCACCCACATGAAACGCCGCATCCTATTTTGCATTGGTAAAAAATAATTTTTTAAAAGTTCATCGGGTGCAGGTTGTTTGTTCATGCGTACGGGTAATAACAAACCATCTTTGGAATACCATCCCCAGTCTGTTGCTCTGATAGTTTCATTGCCAAGCCATCAACATATGAGCAAATGTTTTATTCTGTTGTATGGGATTTCAAAATAAGAACGCTTAAAATTTCGAATGTATAACGCCCCACTAATTTTTTTTCGAAATTTTCGAAATAAAAATTAATAGGTTTTTTAACGTATTTCCTTCATAGCTCGATAGAGTGTTTTCTCAAAAACGATTTTGTAGAGGTTTTTAAGAGCTACAAGGATCTGTGAATTAAATCTCTTTGGAACCCTTGGTTTTTAAATGGCGTGAGTTTAAAGGGCTTGAAAAAGATGGTGCTCGATCGTAAATCAATGCTTTAAACGGGTATATCTCGCCAAATATTCATTGTACAACAAATCTAAATAAAGGAAAATTTTAGTCATTAAAAAAGCTACAATTTAGTACATTTTAATTTCTTTCATATATTCAGTATTTTCGGGGATATTTAACAAAAAGGGTAAAAAATATGAAATTGTAAATCGTTTCTCGCTTTAAGCTGTACTTTTTCTAAAACTAAGCATTCTAAATGGGTCAAACTTCTTGGACGTATTAACAATATATGTACAAAGAGAATTGCAGAAGTGTGAAGATCGATTTTAATTATGGGAGTGGTTAGGGGGTTGTTTTCATCGATTTTTTCGTAAAAAAATGAGGTATTGGCCTTATTTTCATCATAACTCACACAATTTTTGAGCAAGAGTCTTTTTTTTATGATTGATCTATTTATGCTCTTTAAAAAAGGTTGCGTGAGTTTTCTTCCAAAAATGCATCATTTTCCCGATATTTGACTTTGAATCTTTTAAATTTGGCATTTGAAGAAAACCGCTGAACATTGATAGGCCGTATTTCGGTTCCTATTATATCGCAAAAACATTTTAAAAAATGAATTGTATTTGTCTTTTTAAAAGCTACAAATTTGTTTTCTACAATTTTTTATTAAAATGCACCATTTTCGAGTTATTCGCGAAAAATCGATTAAAAACGTCGATTTTTTCGTCTAAAAGTTGTTACTTTCAATCGCGAATAACTTGAAAAATATCAGTTTTACAAAAAAAATATATCGAACATTTTTTCTTTACAATCACTTTTTTAATCGAAACCTGTAGTTAAAACGTAAAAAAATTTTCACCCCCGGGATGGGGTGGCAACCACCCCCAAGGCTTTGGTGCACTTTGGTTCGATATAGATTTTGAGCCTTAGGCTATTACCTACCTTCTGTTAAAATTAAGTTAATCCACGCAGGACGAAAAAATTACGAGGTGAAATGCTTCATTTCCAGGACTAAGTATAAGTGGTTTGACAGCATAATAAAATCGTAGATTTATGTGTAGCTTTCAATTTTGATGAATTCAGAATCCAGCAGCCTGCAGAAGTATTGCGTTTTTATAATATAATTATTTGACAACCTTTTGTTGGCCAACCTCCTACAGCAGAAATGAGCCGAAATACATGATGTTTCCTATGTTCCGAATTTATTTCGTTCAATCTGTATAAGCTGAGATGCAATACCTGCGAATCCTTTTAATATTGGTAACACGTATAGATCTTTTAAAGAAAGCCTGAAGAAACACTTTAGATACATCATTATTCGATATGTTTTTTCAAAAATGCTGCAAATAACCGACAAACAACTTGCTTACAATAACAGTACACGATTTTCGTAGTGGAAATGGAAATGTCAAATATCAATAATTAAAACATGTAATTTACACGACAATCAATTACGGCTTAATCTTATAAACACAATGTTTAACTTAAACATCAACAAGAAAATAGTTTCAGAACCTGTTTTAGAGTTTTATTTCATAAAACATGTCTGTATAATATTAATCTGAAACGGTTTTTTTACATATAAAAAAACCCATGTTCCTTTGTAAGAAGGTCGTGCCCATCTCTTTATCGAAGGTGTTAATTTATGCATACATTATCGGAAATTAAAAGGAAAATGTAGCAAAAGAACAGAAGAAATGGTGGGTGGAAAGTGAAAGTGAGTAGTAGGGGATTCTGAGATCGGAATGTGTGGCATTTCTTTCGAGTAAAGGGGTAAGACGACCGCGAATTCTACGGAATAGGAGACCAGTAACATTCGGAGGTTAAGAATGAAAAGAAATTCCTCGTCTTATGTTGTTATAAAATAACTCTTACATTGATGATTAATCTAAGGTTATACCTTCTCTTATTAAATTATTTTACTCTACACTATAACAATTAATTTTATAAACAAAGTACCAATAAAAAACACTATTACTTATTAATTTTATTATTACCATGGATAAATGATTACATTTGACATTAACATTTGACGAGGTAGAACGTTAAATTCAGTATTTTATTTTTTCTTCTACAAGTTTACTTGCGTATGGATACCAGCACCTATTCCTTCCTTAATCCTTTTTCCAAAATCTTCATCTACTTTTGAAAAGTTCAGAACAGCTCTTTCTTGGAATGTACTGTTTGTTCTCTTTAACCAACTAACAATATTTTCTATAAGCCTTCCTCGTTCGATTGGTTTTAAAACTCGTTGATATAGTAACCTGTGTAAGAAATTTTAGTATTTTAAATTATTTGACATGTAGATAAACCTAATATAAAAGTTGATACTACCATGGCGTCCAGATGCATAAGACACTTTTTTCGAGATATTTTAGCATACTACATCATCCTTTTTAGACCGTAGGTATCTAAGATAACTTAAAGAAAGAACTGCAAGGTAATAGATAGGTGAATGTAAAGACGGCCCTAGTCTGGAGTGAGGCGGTAAAATTACCAACTTACAAGAGGCTCATGGTACACATCGAAAAACCTAGTCTGCTGCGGGTAGCGTGTACCTACAGGACTATGTCAGCTGCCCCTCTGGTCATGGTCAGGATTCATAGTCGTAGGGGGCAGAACATTGCAGAGCGAAAGATGAATGAGATGAGACTGGCCGAGAGATTGGTTTCAATCAGTCAGTGGCAGCAAGAGTGGGAGGTAACACGTGATGTGACGGAGTGGACGAAGTCATTAATCCTGAACCTTCGAAGCTGGTTGGACTGTGGGCATAGGCAGCTGGATTATTATCTGACGCATATGTTCACAGGCCATGGTTGCTTCCGCAGTTACCTTTTCACCTTCAGGAAGGCATAGTCCGATCAGTGCCCTCCATTGTGGTCTCTCGAATACTGTGAAACACACGATGTTGGAGTGTGAGCGTTAGGCAGATGAAAGAGAGAAGTTTGAAGGAGAGTGTAACTATAGAATGTTTGATTCCGCGAGAGAAGTGGTGGAGAAAATGATGAGGGATAAGTGGTGGTGATGAAAATGACCCAGACAAATATAAAACCATAAATATATTAATAAGAACGAAAATTAGAGAAGCGAAAGAAAAAGAAGCAAGGAAAAGATGTGAAGAAATTGAGACTCTGCAGTCAAAGTACGATAGTCACAATGTACATAGGAAAGTAAAAGAACTCACAGGAAGACTAAGACGAAAGCAGAAGGAAAATATAACTGATTCTGACGGAAACATCATCTTGCATAAACAGAGTAAAATAAGAACGTCGAAAGAATATCTAGAAAAACTATTTGAAGACCAAAGAGATAACACGTTTGATTTAGAAGAAGAGGTAAATGATGGATCAAGAATATTACAGCAGGAAGTTTATTCCGCAATAACACAGTTAAAGGATAATATACAATCAGAACTACTAAAACTAATGGACAACGAATCAATAGCAATAATCGCAAAGATATTCAACAACATATACCTACAACTCTGGAGAAATACCAACAGTATGATTGAAATCTGAGTTTATTGCACAATTTCAAAAAAAAAACAGGAGCCAAAAAATGCGAAGATTACCGTAGTATAAGCTTCATAAGTCATCTCCTAAAATTGTTCCTAAAGATAATTCACAAGAAAATCTACAAGCTCTGTGAAAGTCAAATTTCCCCCAACCAGTTCGGGTTCACAAATGCTGTTGGTACTAGATAGGCTTTTTTTCAGTACAAGTCTTATTCCAGAGATGCAGAGACGTCAACTGCGACGTATACGCATGTCTGGTTGATTACGACAAAGCGTTTGATCAATTACAGCACGCCAGATGATGCAAATTCTAAAAGAAGCAGGAATTAACAACCAAGTTTTAAAAATAATTGTAAATCTTTACTGAAATCAGACAGCAAATCTCAGAGTTTAAGGTGAACACACTGACTATGTCAAAATCATGCGTGGAGTGGGGCAAGGCTGTATTTTGTCTCCTCTAATCTTCAATCTGTACACTGAAAGAATATTTATCGAAGCTTTCCACGAAACTAAAAAAGGTATTTTACTAAATGGTTACCGACTAAGCAAGATCAGATATGCAGATGGTACCATAGTATTTGGGGACAACTTAGAAGACCTACAGTTCTTATGAAGAAAACCACGCATTACAGTCAACAATATGGACTTAATATTAACGTTAAGAAGACAAAACTATGATAATTAGCAAGAAAAGGATCAAGGAAGGTCAACTCTACGTCAACCAATCTCCTGTAGAAAGAGTGACGCACTACAATTACCTCAGCACCATAATAAATAAAGAATGGACCAACAGCGAGGAGATTAGAGCACGCGTCGGAAAAGCTAGATCCACCTTCAATCGGATGGGGGCATTCTTCAAGAGTCACAACCTTTCTCTTGATACAAAAGTAAGAATGTTGCGATGCTACGTCTTCTCTGTCCTTTTTTATGGTGTTGAATCGTGGACCTTTAACGAAGATATGTGCAAAAAACTGGAAGCATTTGAGATGTGGCTATATCGGAGAATACTTAAACTCCCGTGGACTGACCGAGTTACAAATGAGGAGGTCCTCAGAAGAATTAATAAGAACCGAGAGGTACTGACCACCATTCAATCTCGAAAGTTACAATTCTTCGGACATATTATGCGAAATGAATCCAAATATGCTCTCTTTCAAGTCATCCTGCAAGGAAAAATATTTGGAAAGCGAGGTACAGGAAGAAGAAACATATCTTGGTTAAAGAACCTCAGAATCTGGTTCAATACAACATCTATGCAGCTTTTCCGCACTGCTGCAGATAAGATAAAGATTGCCATGATGATCGCCAACATTCGTAACGGATAGGCAGATCAAGAAGAGAAGATAAGTGGTGGTGGACACGGATCCAGAAATTGATCAGGGAGCTGTTCTCTTCAAAATTTACACTTAAACATCAAAGAAATGACAGGTTCTAGAAAAAGCACAATTAAACATGATAAAGGAGATATATTATAATTACAAATCTATACTGGCATCAAGTGGCAAGAATAAAGGTTGAACAAGAACTGTCGGATGAAATAAATATAAAAAGAGGAGTGAGACAAGGCTGTATATTGTCGCCTTTACTTTTTAACTTATATTCGGAGGAAATATTTAAGGAAGCCTTAATGGAGACAACCGAAGGTATTATTGTGAATGGAGTAACCGTCAACAATATTAGATATGCCGACGATACCTTAAGGTCGTGGCATATTATCATACACTTTGCGTTTCCAGCCGATAGCGTTTAGTTTCCGAAAAATATCATTTAAATGGTTTTAAATATGAACAACGCACACCGTCCGGAAGGTATCGTTACAGACACCCAACGTTTCCGTTCAGTATATTCGAAAACAATATTTTACTGATGCCGACGGCTACGTACGGGTTGTAACTGGTTGGTACGGATAATGTGAATTAGGGGTCCGTCGTTTTCTCCTCGTTGTTCATTTAGGATTTGTTTGATTTTGATACAGAAAATTTAAAATGATAATTTTCAAGGCTATTTTGTCATTTATGCATGTGTTTTCATTGCTTTGTGACAATTAATACCGGAAGTGATAAACAATTAGGACTTTTGCATGGAAGTGATATTCTTTTTTAAAAATACTCTTTGGTTTGATATGTATGGCTTCATTAAATGTAGTATTTTGTTTTATAACTAAAGGTGATTAAATTAAATTTAAAATATTTAAACTAAATCCTATTCATTCGAAAATATCCATAATATTTTCCATCGTCCTCATTTAAATCTTTTTATAAAATCCAGTATTCACCTTCCTTTTTCCTTTCTCTTAGCATTGGATGTATTTCAAACCTTCTTTTTACTACAGTTTTTCTTTCTTCATCGTTAAGTAGAAGAGCAATTGCACATAATTTTTGTCGCAAAAGCAACAACATATATTCACCGCACCAAAATGAAACATTCTATGTATGAAAATGTGAACGCGCAGTACGATTGCTCGACCCGAAACGCTATGTGCCGGAAACTATGTGCAGGATAATATGCCGCGACCTTTAGTCCTTGCCAATTGCGGAGAAGACCTTCAAAATCTAATGAACAAAATAAAACAGACTTGTGATCAGTATGGATTAAAACTCAACGTTAAGAAAATTAAATATATGATAGCAAACAAAATTATATACATGATGACGGTATAAAAGTCGGAGATGCCACACTGGACAGAGTAGAGAAACTCGTGTATCTCGGCAGTAATATCAATGAGAGCTGGGATCCAATCTCAGAAATTAAAAGCCGAATAGAACAAGCCGAGCTGCCTTTGTAAAAATGAGAAACGTACTTTGCAGTCACGATCTTAGCATTGACCTTAGAGTTCGTATGATATCTTGCTACATCTTTCCTGTCCTGCTGTATGGAGTAGAAGCGTGGACCCTAACTGAGGCTATGCTTAAACGCTTGACAGCCTTTGAGATGTGGGTATACAGACGACTACTGAAAATAAGCTGGGTCGACAGAGTTAGAAATGAGGAGGTCCTTAGACGGCTGAACCAAACAACACAACTGGTCAATATAATAAAGAAACGCAAGCTGGAATACTTCGGTCATATTATGAGACACCCTGAAAAATATGATCTTTTACATCTGATCATTCAGGGAAAGATCCAAGGTAATCGTGGTCCTGGTAGAAGAAGAACATCATGGCTGAAAAATCTAAGGCAATGGTATGGAAAATCAACTACATCGTTATTTAGAGCTGCTGTCAATAAAGTCACGATAGCGAATTTGGTAGCCAACATGATATCCAACGATCGATAACGGTCATGGAACTAGAAGAAGAAGAAGAAAGGAGATATTATTACTGATATAAAGGAAAGGTTGCGTCACTGGACCAATTATATCCAAAAGATATTTACTGATGAAGAAAAGAACTATCGTTAAAAACCACAGAGGATATCGGACCAGCAGTATTACGAGAAGAAGTCATATATACCATCAAAAACATAAAAGAGAGCAAAGCTACCGGACCAGATGATGTGCCCATCGAAATATTAAAATTCACTGATGAAGATATTATTGAGGTAATGGTTGAACTCTTTAATCAATATATCAGACTGCCACAATCCGCAGACAATGGCTGCAATCGACCTTTGTGGTAATACCCAAAAAGTCAAGTGCAAATCTCCTCCTCAAATCACAGAACAATAGCTTTAATGAGTCACACACTTAAAACATTTTTGAAAATCATACACAGCAGAATTGTTAAAACCGCTGAATATGAAATAAACGACACTCAATTTGGCTTTAGAAATGGTATGGGCATAAGAGATGCTTTGTTTGGCTTAAATGTGATGGCCCAGAGATGCATGGATATGAATCAGGACATGTATTCATATTTTGTAGATTTTGATTAGGAATTTGATAAGATTTAACATAAAAAGCTTGTAGAAATATTAAATAACAAAAATATTGATAGTCGTGATATGAAAATTATATCTAATCTATATTGAAATCAAACTGCCAAGGTAAGAGGTGACAACCAGAACATACACGATATCAAAATACAGAGAGGAGTTCGCCAGGGTTGCGTGCTGTCACCACTACTCTTCAATATCTAAAAGAGCGCTCCCAGGTTCAATAGAAGGTAAATCATCAATGGAGAAGTTTTGAATAACAGTAATAATGACGGACCACAACAATACGTAATGCAATGTAATGCAACGACTTAATGAATGCTGTCATGAATACGGACTAAGGACGAATTCGAAAAAACTAAATGTATGATCATGACTACACTAACATTCAATTGATTGTTGAGAATACTCTAATTAAGAGAGTGGATACCTACAAATACTTAGGAACGTAAATAACATCAAATGTTCGTTAAACTTAAAAAGTTTCTTTTTGTCGGGATATAAGGTAAGGACTACGCCTAAGAATGCTTCAGTGTTACGTATTCACTATTCTTTTTGATGGCTTGGAAGCATGGACATTAAAACAAGTGCATTTGAATATGTTAGTCGCCTTTGCATTTTGGTGTTACAGAAGAATTCTATAAATAAAATGGACTCAAAGAATGCCAAACGCAGAAGTTTTTAGAAGAATAGGAAATCAAGCTGAAATAATATTGACTATCAGAAGAAGAAAACGATTGTGCAACTTTCGGCTATGTATGGTAGTGAAACTTGGGTGTAAAGTCATAAAAATACACAGAAATTGGTACGATGAGAAAGAAATATATTACACAAGATATATGGATGAGCAAAGGACAATGACTGCATATGGAGAAGAAGAACAAACAAGACAGTAATGGAGCTCTACAATCAACCAGGCATAATACAAAAAGTAAAAGTACAAAGAGCACGTTGGATAGGACATTTTTATATTACGTTCACAGACATGCAAACAATGTATTTATAGGAGGAGTGGGCGGAAAGCGCAGGAGAGGAGTATCAGAAAAGAAATAGTTAGAGGATGTTTAAGAATACCTGACTGGGGGAAAAAAGAAAACAGAAATGAGTGGAAAAAATACTGAAGGAAATAAAAGCAATGGGTCTCTAGATCCTAAGAATTGTTTCGCCCATTTTGTTCGTTCAAACTTGTAATACCTGAGGAGTATCGGCACAAATGGCGGTGTCATTTTTTTCTGAATGTAATTTAGTATGCAAAGTAGGCGAGTTAGTTTCAAATATTACCTAAAAGTCGAGATCAGCAACGAATGTCTCTTGTGCGCAAGAATGCACACGAAATATGTTCGTGTTCGTAGCTTGGTAGAGTGCTAAGTGAACAACGCAACTATTAGCAGAAAATAGGAATTGAATAAGCAAGACTAATGGTCATCCAAATGTCCAAGCTGTTTCAAGATATGACTCTTACTATGCTTAACATTCTCTATCTTGGACTTTGACTGGGGCAATAGCAACGAGATTGGAAACTGTTAGGATGTGTATTTTATACAGATCCCTTACACATTTCTTAGTTTATTAAGAAAAATAAATATTGTGTAAAGTCAAAAAGTAAAAATTACAGTATTTAAACCACAAGAGAAATAAACCCAAATTTAAATTACTCGAATGAATTCTGAAGGGAAGAGTACAAGGTTAGGAAAGCGACAGGAGAAGTCTGGTTTGCTATATACCACCCGCAACTTCTTCAAAACGATATCAAATTAAATTATTATTATCTTCGAAAAAAATAAAATTCTTTAAAAAACGTTTCCAGCAAATAGTAAAACTAAAAAGTGATATTTACCTAGGCTGTGTATAATTATCATCATTTCCATTATCAACCCTTTGAGCATTTCCACTCAATGGCCAAATTGGAGATAGAGCTTTAGCTCTTTTGTCTTCCTCAGGTCCTTTGAAACTATTTGGATGGTATACTGGAGCACCATTTTGACTTTGAAGAGAATCTTGACCATCTCGCTGATAAGTATTAACCTGGAACGCACTATTGACGGGTAACTGGGTGTTGTTGATTCCTAGACGATAACGGTGTGTGTCTCCGTAGTTAAAGAGACGACCCTGTAGCATTCTGTCGGGAGATGGTTCAATACCTAAAAAAGCCAAAGGTTCATTACACAAAGTAATACTCAAACTTAGAATATAAACTGTTTCATCCGCAAATGGTACTTTTGGGACATTGGCTCCATTAATAATAAAATAATTCTTTAAAGTTTATGCAACACTTTATATATTTTGTTGAGATTTATTTGGTCAATATTATGGCCAGAATATATATATATATATATATATATATATATATATATATATATATATATATCTTTTTATTTCTGTAACAATGGATACGTAATACAAGAGTTTTTAACAATATGACGGATCATCCACTATTCGAAAATAGATGTCCCGAAAATAATCTTGACCTTTTCTGTAATATACCTAGCACTGGAAGACCTTCCATTTAGAATAATGTTGAATAAATTTGACGAAAAAATCCCAGATGTGTTTCACTATAACATCCAACATTATACTGCGTGTTTAATAGATATTTTTAATTACAACACCCCTTTTATAGAGTTCTCCAAAAAATACACTAACACCTTACTAATAAAAAACCAACTAAACGAGATTCTTGAACGAGGCTACTTTAACTGCACAAACATCTTCACCGATGCCTCTGAATCTAATGATTGCATTGGTTGTGCATAATGTGTTACTTCAACGTCTACTTTAAAATTTAAACTATCGCCTAGATCAATACTACAATTAGATAACTCGAAAATTTTCATTTCTGAGATAAGTTTACCAGTAGATGTAAATATGTCGTCTTCATGTTACGCAACAAGCAGAGAATTCACAAAGCACCCTTTGAGTCAATATAACTAACTTTCAAAAGCAGATAACTTTAAAATCATTCTTTTTAATACTACAAATTGATATTTTAAGTTATCTACTTGTTGCAAATTTCAATACCTTAGCTTTTAGCGTTAACAACTGTACTACTACACTTACCTAGTTGTAGCTTGAAAAGTACTTCTATCGAATTTTCACAATTGACGAAGATTTTGCCCGTTGGATATTTTGAGGACTAATTTGTTTTGAAAACGTGAGTGCTAAATTAATAATGTGGCTATGCAAAACACGTAATGCCAAGTTCGGCTATAGACGTGATTTTGTAGTTTAGCGTGGTAGTGGAAATTGTTCTACAATTCTTACGAATGGTGTGTACAAATCTATGTTTTTAATTATTTACAATGTGTTACAAATTTTTAGGTTAGGTATAGTGTTGCTTCAATTAAAAATTATAGTAAATAATTTTTGTCTTGTAAAAATAAAAAGTGTAGAATAAAATGAAATTATTACTATTTAAATTTTAGAGTAGAAGTCAGGCGGCTATAACTAAGGACTATGGTGCAAATGACATTGAAGGTGTGGAAGAACCGTTTGCTTCAGAAAATTATTGAGAATATTTACCCGATGAAGAAGAAACGTCATCTAATAATGATGTTGACAACTTGCTTTCACCAACAAAATGTAGGAATAAAAGCAACATTGTTCTAGATAGCATGGAAGCATTTCCTAAGGTTACTGAACGTTAAACTGAACATTATCGTGCCCTCGATAAATGGGCACAAAATATGCCTAAAAAAGAACGTGCCAGAGGGGAAGCTTATGTTGCTTCAAGAAATAAAAGTGTTCTTGTAGTAACCATGAAATCCGCTTATCCCACCAACTGTCGAGACCAGTATTATACAAAGGTTGTAGTAAACTAACTGAATTGGACAGAACGAGAATTTTTCAAGGTTACTATACACTGGCAGATTATAATTGGCAACGAGGTTTTATTTACAGTAACACTGATAAAAATCCTAAAACATGTACTAATACATCATCACAATCCAAAAAAAAAACATTTCAGTAACATTTTTTCTCCCGAAGAATAATGAAAGATTTAAAGTTTGTTAAACGATATTTTAAATACACTACGAATTAAAAAGCGATTCACTATGGCTATAAAAAAGCGAACATCTGAAAATACAAGACGGGGTGACAACAGCGGATAACAAGTTAAAAAAGTAAGTAAATCGACAGTTTTGGAAAATGTTAAGTCACATATTGAAAGCTTTTCTACTGTGCCTTCCCATTATTGTCGATCATCTACTAAATGGCATTATATTGACTCATCCTTAAATATCACTCTGATGTATACACTTTATTGTGAATTGTGTTATTCAAGAACTGAAGAGAAAGTTAGTTTGGCAATGTATAAAAAAAATTTTAATGAAAATTTTAATCTAGGTTTCCATCATCCTAAAAAAGATTAGTGTCATGTTTATTCTCAATATATCAGTTCAACTACTAATGACAAATTGTTGCTCAAAGTAGATTTTGAAGCTCAGCTCTTTCTTAAGGATCAAGCTAGAATTGAAAAACTTAAAGATCGAGTTGATGCTGAATTTTCTAATGGAGTACACAGTACAATTGTCAGTAAGCAAGAACATTGTTTCATTTGGAATGAGACTCAAGGATCCCGAGGAAGTTGTAACATAGCCAGTGCAATTTATAATTATTTTAAATCACTACCAGATACAACAATTTGTGTCACCTTTTGTGTCACCTTAGTGATAGATGTGGAGTTCAAAACGTGTATCAGTTTACTGCAGCAATGCTAACGAAGAGAGTAAATGATTTAAATAACCTGGAGGTCACTAATATGAAATTTTTGGTTTCTGCACATAGTGAGATGAATTCTATTCATACTGCAACTAACAAAAAATTTAGACGTGTTGGGAAAGCCTTGAAGAAAGGTCTGAAGATTGGAAGCAAATTACTCGGAGAGCAATAAGAAAGTGAGACAACTCTTATCTTGTTCATGATTTGGATCAATCGGATATACAGGCTTGAAATGGATATACTATGCTAGCAAAATATGTGCTGGGTAAGATTTATAAAGTCACATACGTTCATTATGGAGTTCAAAAAATCATTTTCTGATGAATATTTTAGACATTTAAATTTGAGCAAACGGGCCTGCTCTTTATTTCAGTCACTTTTACAACCTTTGTATTTACAACCGATTTCAATATTAATACAAAAATATAAAGATCTGATGTCACTATTTTCTATGAAACCACCTGCTTTGGGAGATTCCTACAGGCCATTTTACACCAGTCTGTCATATGCGAATAAAGAAGATTCGACTAAAATAGATGATGGTCAAACTATAAAGTTGATTCTTGAGTAAGTTATCTATTCGTATCTCTTCAGAAATTAGAAATTGTGTCATATTAATATAATTCTTCATAAAGTACTTTTTTGTAAATAATTTATTTTTTCAAATGTTAGTAGATGCTTTTTTCTGTTTTATGTATGACAGTATGTAATTTTAACATAAAAAATAAAAAAATAACTTTTACCAAGTTCTAATGTTGCTTTCTTTTAACAAGCATAAGGTCCAATACAGGAAATGTATAGTACAACAAGTATATAACTAGGATTTTGGTATAAAGAATACATATGCAACAACTAGGTAACTGGGACTTTTTCAACTTTTCTTCTAATATTAGGAATAATGAGTAAAGAATAAAAATATTTAAAACGAAATACGGCTTTAACATTATGTCAGCTTTATGCTAGAACAGAATTCAAACTTTGGAAAAATCCTAAAATGCGTTTATCTCAGAAGTGTTATATTTGAGTTACCTAGTTTAGTATTGAAGTGGCGAAGTGTTTTCACAACTAAACTGTTTTGATTCTTTCTTTGAAGACAGGAGAAGGCACTATCTTTGAAGAGAATGCCTTCTCCCTACAGAGGTTGGCCTTTATTGCGTTCGGAGAATGTTATTGTTGTGTTAATTGAAAAATCTTTAGCAAATATTATAAAACACTAAAAATGTTTATATTGTTTAGATTGTACACTTTTTAAGCATTTAAATTTACCTGGTATTAAATGAGAAACATCAAAAGCGATCTGTTCTATTTCTGAAAAATAGTTTGTAGGGTTTTTATTCAGAACAAACCTTCCTACGGGAATTAAAGGGTAATCAGCATGTAACCACACTTTAGAATCATCAAAAGGATCATAAGAACTTTTGGCTGCTTGCTCTGGTGTCATAATCTGCACATACATATTCCAAGATGGATACTGACCACTGTCTATAGCGTTATATAGGTCTCTAATAAGATATTCGGGATCAGATCCTGCTAGTTTTTCTGCTTGGTCAGACAGCAAGTTTGAAATACCTAAAAATGACGTATTTTAAGAGTTAGGATAAAGATTTTGTTTTCTTTCATTTTTTTGTTAGTTTATACGAACTAGTTTATGTTTATGTATGTGTGTGAGTATATATATATATATATATATATATATATATATATATATATATATATATATATATATATATACAGTTTTATCTAATTTATATTGGAATCAAACTGCCAAGGTAAGAGTTGACAGCCAGTATACCGAAAATATCAAAATACAGAGAGGACTCCGCCAGGGTTGCGTGCTGTCCCCACTACTTTTCAATGTCTACAGTGAAGCGGTATTTCAAGAAGCGCTCTTAGACTCAATAGAAGGTATATCTATCAATGGAGAAGTTTTGAATAACTTACGTTTTGCAGACGATACAGTAATAATTACGGATAAAAACAATGATTTACAGAACGTAATGCAACGCCTTAATGAACGCTGTCATGAGTACGAACTGAAAATAAATTTAAAAAAAACTAAATGCATGATCATGACTAAATCTGCACATGCAAATATCCAATTGACTATTGAAGATACTGCAATTGAGAGTGTTAATAACTATAAATACTTAGGAACATGGATAACATCAGATGTAGACCAAACCAAAGAAATTAAGACACGTATTGAAATAGCACGTACATCATTTATTAAACTTAAAAAGTTTCTTTGTTGTCGGGATATAAGGTTAGAACTACGCCTGAGAATGCTTCGATGTTACGTGTTCTCTACTCTTCTTTATGACCTGGAAGCTTGGACACTAAAAAAAGTTCATCTGAATAAGTTGGCCGCCTTTGAATTTTGGTGTTACAGAAGAATCCTACGAATATCATGGATTCAAAGAATGTCAAACATGGAAGTAACTAGAAGGATAGGAAATGAGGCGGAAATAATATTAACCATTAAAAGACGAAAACTTGAGTACTTGGGACATGTGATGAGAGGGCAAAAATAAGCATTATTACAACTTATTATGCAGGGCAAAATCCGAGGAAAGCGAAATGTGGGAAGACGAAGAATATCCTGGCTTAAGAACTTGAGGGATTGGTTTGAATGCAGTAGTGCAGAACTTTTTAGAGCGGCAGTCAACAGAGTCCGCATAGCCATGATGATTTCCAACCTTCGATAGAAGATGGAACTTAAAGAAGAAGATACAGATTGGCCTTTATAAAATAGTGTATAAAGTCTTTGTATTTAGTCCTATTTCATTTTCCTTTTACTTCTTTAGTTTCAATTTTTGAAAAATAATATTCATTGGCATTTTTTATTTCTATATCATTTATCTGATATAGAGAACACCACTTTAGGTCGTTTTATGTTTGTTTGAATTTTTATTTATCAATAAGATTTTTATCTTAGTCTATTCTAACTGTAATATGATATTTAAGGAATATCTTAAATACAATTATTTACCTTGATTGCTTAAATAATGAAATTTGCAATAAACGAGTTTTCCGTGGGCATTCACAAAGGCAAACGTATTTGCACCATAACCATGCATATGTCTATAACTATCGGGAATTCCTCTATCAGCAAACATCATTAAAAGAGCGTGCATAGACTCTTCACGAAGCGTGATGAAGTCCCAAAACATGTCGTAGTCTGGTCTAATATGGGTAACGGGGTTCCTAAGAAAAACAAAACTAAGATAAATAAATGTAGAATTATCAATATTTTGAGTATATTCAATATTTTTTTATTTTTTTACATCTAATGAGATAGAGATAGATGTTAAAAATATTGAATATACTCAAAATATTGGAAAAAATATATAAATATGTTTTGGATGGGTTGAAGTCAATAGAAGGGCAATTAGGTAACTATTTTTTATCTCGAGCTTTCAATTGTGTCTACAATCACTTTCAAGAGCTGCTAAAAAATACAAAATATCTTACAAAGTAAAAATAGAAAAAAAATTAACTCGCCAAATAAAGTTAGTTTTGTTAATAAATTTATACTGCTAAAAAACAATTCAAAATACTATTTTAAAAATTAGATTATCTTAAAAACGATTCTCTTAAATTTTGTAATATCATTTTGAAAAACTTTTTAAACACAAAAACAATTAGATTTATAAATAAGTTAGAATAGCGACCAATCACAAATAAATTTATAGTTATTAGTTACTCGTAATTGTTTTTTTATGCGTGTATCAGATAACGGTAACCAATACCAACTTGCTTATTTTGAATAGAACACCCTGTATATTAATTAGTTTTTAAAATTCCTCAGATCATTTTAGACATTTTTTGAATACAATGCCATATACCTACCTTTGACTGTTTCGGAAATATTAGGTAAAATTCAAAAATTCACATTTAGAAAAGAAAATTTTCTATTTGCCGAAAGTCGCTACAAAATATTCAAAAACTCATGTGATTGATCTAATCGCAAGCGTTATTCGTCTTCGTAAGTCAGTGGGTTTAGTTGATATGCACTATGATTTAGTTTTATATACAATACTTTTCACATATACCCATAAGAAAAAGTCTAGTGGTGTCGAATCGGGGGATCGTGGTGGTCATTCCATCAATCCTCGCCTCCCTATCTACCGATTTGAAAATATTTGGTTGAGGTCCTGCCGGACATGGATTTGGTAGTGGGGTGGTACTTCTTCTTGTTGAAACCATATGATATTCGCTGGAACTTGTTGGTTTTTTGGATCAGGATACAAGTTGACCAACGTTGGCACTACATTATTTTGGAGCAATGTTAAATAATTGTCGCCATTCAAATTGCCATCTATGAAAAAGTGACGTATGATCTGATCTTCAATAATTCCTGTCCACACGTTAACCTTCTCAGGGTATTGAGTATTGCCTTCTCTCATCCAGTAAGGATTTTTCCTGGACCAATAGCGGCAATTTTGCCGATTAGCACGACCGTGAAGAGTAAAGGTGCACTCATCAGAAAACAAAACATGTTCTAATTGGATCACATTACTGTCTAATATTGACATCATTTGTTCACAAAAATACGTTCTCCTGTCAAAATCCTTCTATGAGCTCCTGAGTGTGTATCATTTTATAGGGATGCGTTTTGTTTTCTTGTAATATTCGAATAACCGATGAATAGCTAATATCGAGTACTGGGGCTGCTTTTCTAACAGGTGTATGTGGGTGTTTCTCAAACTTAAGCATAACAGCCAATTTGATATCCTCACTTATTGCATTGGCAGCTTCTTTTTTACCTTCCTAACATGGCCCACCTCGTGGAATTGCTTCTCTATTTTACTAATTGTCCCTTGAGATATGTGCGGCAAATCAGGAAATGCTTCGTGACATAAACAAACTACTTCCATTTGCGTCCGTGTCTTATCTTCATAGTCAATCATCTGTATAATTGTAATTTTGTGCATTTCTGTTTAATGAACCATTTTTCTGGCTTGCGGTTAATAAAATTCAAACGACTATAGTAATGACAACTACTTCTGTCATAGAACACTAACACATTGACGTTTTAAATCAAAGTAAACAATTTTTTGTTTTTTTTTAACATATTAATAAAAAGGAATGCTAAATAGTTTTTGCTTACTTTATTATTATTAAGACCTAAATGGGCAAGATGTATTAAGACAGTGGTAGCGACTTTCGACAAATAAATAATTTTATTTTATAAATGTGAATTTTTGCATTTTACTTAATATTTCTGAAACAGTCAAAGATAGGTATAGAGCATTATATTCAAAAAATGTCTAAAATGATCTAAGTAATCTATTTTGTTATGGTTACATGAAATTAAGTAATATAACTGACCTTTTTAGTACGTGAATAAAACTTGGAAACAATGCAGCATCCTTTACGAAAAATACAGGAAAATTATTTCCAACTAAATCCCAAATTCCATCCTCAGTATAGAATTTTACTGCAAATCCTCTGAAATCTCTAACAGTATCGGCGTATCCCATTTCTCCAGCAACTTGAGAAAACCTGCAAAAGTAGATTTAAATGTTCTATTCCTATTCCTACTTCTTCTTTTAAGAAAGAATATGCTAAAATATAAACATAAGTCTAACGAGTACATGAAAATTTAGAGACAATGCACTAAACTGAAATGAAAAAAATGCTAGGCAACGATATATTAGTAGGAAACGCTTCCTGGGAACGACCACTGTAAGACCAATATGTGTTAAAGAAATGCTAAGAGTATAATAGGTAGTATTGTCTATATTGTCGCGCAGCAGCCGACAGAGAAAGGTTTCAGGAAATTGTAAACATGATGACGGCCAACGTCTGAATACGGACACGCCACTCAAAGAAGAAGAAGATTGTCTATACACAAGATATGAGATTAAAGATCATAAACAGACAAACACAAAACAAAGCGAAACTAGAAATAAAACATAGACTGTATGCAAAAGGGATAGCACATAAAAATCCAAAATAATATAAAAAAGAATAAAAACAACAAAAGAGAAAAGAAGGAAAAAAATTGGAAATGAAATAAGTGAAAAATACACAACGAATAACAAACAGTTTTGGTGTAATCTAACGAATCTACGAATGAAGGCAAGAGAAACGAAATAAAGCAAATCATGAACAGTATAAATGAGTTAAAAATAAAAACAGATGATATTTTAAACATATGGAAAGATTACTACATTGAGAAGTTTTATCCAAAGAGACTAAATTTAACAAATATAATAACTGAATAAGGAGGGAATGAAAAACACCAAGACTGTGGAGAGATAAACATCGAAAAAGAAGATGCGTTAAAATTAATTAATCCATTAATGCCCAATGGTCTATTTGTGGATTACGTTATGATCCTGCAAGCAATAGTTTAATCTAACCTGAGAGACTTACACATCCCTTAAGTATGACATTAGGGTAATACAATTCATTGGAGCAGGAGGATTAACTCATGTAATCATGAATCACTCCACACCGCTCCAATGCTTCAGATCATACACTTTCTCCTCGATAGTGCCCTGATGCGCCCTAGAGGATCTCTTATCAGTAAAGTTCTTGTCATGTGGAAGTTATGGGTACAAATCAGATGACCAGATCATCAAAAACTGGTACTAGTGTCTCATAACGCTTAATATAGATGTGGCATTTGTCAGTGCTTGTCAACTTTATAAAAAAGTGGATGAAAAGCCACTTTCTATAAATGAATTTACAAGATCCATTGCAGTTTCTTACCTGAAGTTGGGTCGTGGATCTAGGATTGCCAAAGGAAGACCTTCTTCAAGGACTTCGATATCAAGAACGCCGGTTGTAGCTGATGTCAGATTTGATGTCAACACCCCTTTCCGCTCTAAGAGAGATCAGCAGAGACGATGTCAATTTACCAATTGTAAAGAGAGACCCTTAATTTACTGCTGTAAATGTATGGTTACTCTGTGCACTTCTTGTTTTCCCGCAAATCATATGCCATATTAATTAGAATGTAATAGGATTAAATGTTCTAGCATTGTTTTATAATAATAATAGTCAGGTATCATTAAAATAAAAGATATGTATCTAATACGACTATTTCTAATTTCAGACTTACCTTGCGTCCAGCGATCTATTTATAGATCAGCCTTAATTTCGAAAACTTATAAAATACCCGAAAAACATTATTATACAATATTGATTCTAATGAAACGACTACCATAGATTATAATTTTTTTTATTTTGGAATAAAAGTTTATTTGGGCGTTAATGGGTAAAAAACAGGAAAGACCTGCGGTACTAATGGAATAGAACCAGAAATGCTAAAGTAGTTCGAAGAAGGAGAATAACTTGTCAGATTCTGTGTTCAATGTAAAAACAAAATAATTACACCCATACATAAAATAGAGACATAAAGTTACAAATGGATAGTGGAAGAAAGACTTGGCAAGTGATAGAAAATAAAATCGCTAAAGAACAATCAATGAAAACAAACAAATTACATTATACATATAATTAAAAACATTATAGAAAGAAAAATAGAACCAGAAGAAGAGCTACATCTAAATTTCATAGACCTTTAAAAAATAATAAAATACTAATGAAATCGTAGGCTTCCACGGCCAGAGTCAGAATTATAGTTTATTCGTCTTTCGGGTTTGGACCGTGTCATTTGTGAGTGACCCAAAAGTGGGTTCATCTCGACGTTTCGCTACAATTGTATGTAGCTTCTTCAGGAGAACAAAGAAAAAGAAATCAAGAGACAGGAAGATGGGTAGTTAGGAACGGTAACTCAGTTACTCAACGCAACCAGAGGCGAATACTAACTACCAAGATGGGCATTTGGTCACAGTAACATTTGTCGCCAACGGTTACTCCAAGTCCACAATTCAAAATATTACACACCGACATCTACATCCCCCTTTACACCCTAGGACGACAAATTCAGAATCTTCGGGTAATACTCCTGTGGCTTTTCTTCCGTATATTCGAAGTGTCACTGATAGGATTGGCAAAATTCTTCGCAAAGAAGGTATCAGTACTACTTTTCGACCACCCAAGAAAATCTCACAATATCTACCCTCTCCTAACTACCCATTACCGCCCCTATCTTCCTGTGGTGTCTATTCTATTCCTTGTTCATGTGGACATTGTATATTGGCGAAACTGGTTGTTCCGTCAAAACTCGGATTCAAGAGCATCAAAGATGCATTCGATCAGGTCTTTTCTCCCATTATGCAGTTGCAGATCACTGCCAAGAAACCGGTCATTCCATATTGTTAGAAAAAACCCATATTATTTCTAAGAGCCCCTTCTTTTATTCCAGGAAAATCCGCGAATCTCTAGAGATCCGAAAAAATTCACATAATATCAATCGAGAGGAAGGATACTACTTGTCTCCCATCTGGAATCTCAGTCTAGAGCCGCCGTCCGGTCCCTCTACCACGATGCAGCCACATGATTGGCCAGCGCGCGCTTCTTGAGGTTCGCGCCACGGAGTGTGCCGATACGCCCCGACACGACAGGTCACCGCGATTATAAATAGAGCGGTAGCGGAGTAATCGTCGGATTCACTCCCCGCCTCCCGACGCGTTAGTGTTCTGAGCTGTTGGACGTGAATCCCTGTCCTGGCATTTGGTTTTCACCTCTGGCTGCGTTAAGTAGTTGAGTTACTGTGACCAAATGCCTATCTTGGTAGTTAGTATTCGCCTCTGGTTGCGTTGAGTAACTGAGTTACCGTTGCTAACTACCCATCTTCCTGTCTCTTGATTTCTTTTTCTTTGTTCTCCTGAAGAAGCTACATACAATTGTAGCGAAACGTCGAGATGAACCCACTTTTGGGTCACTCATAAACGACACGGTCCAAACCCGGAAGACGAATAAACTATAATTAAATACTAGTTCACGAAAAAGATGTCAAAAAGATGTGGAAAAAGTACTTTGACAGTTTATTAAATAAAGAATTTGACTTGGCACTTTAGAAAATAAAGAAAGTTAAACCGATTGGACTAGATAACATTCCCGTGACAGTGTGGACAGCTCTGGGAGAAACAGGAATTAGTTGGCTAACATATTTATTTAAAGGAGCTACAAACTCCATATGTTTAGAAAAAAAGCAAAATATATAACAATACATAAACTACAGGGCCATAAAATTACTTAGTCATACCATGAAAATATGGGAAAGAGTAATTGATAAATGATTTATTTAAGGCAGATCAAAAACAGATGCGATTTTCATTATTAGGCAGCTGATGGCAAAATAAAGGAATAAAGAAACAAAGAAATATGGTGATTATTGATCTTGAGAAAGAGTTCCTCGAGAGATTCTGTGGTAGACGCTTAATAAGAAAGGAGTTCCCGGTAAATATGTAAAGACTGTAAGAGATATATATGATGGAATAACAACAACTATAGTCGGACAATTTTCAATTAAAGGTAACTAATCTACAAATTGAACTAAACGGTAGCGGCAACCATGAAAAATTTCATTAGTAAATTCTTATCGGGGTCATTTTTATTCTGTATGCTTCGCCCATGTAAATATGTAAATTTGTAACCCATCTAAGATAAATTTGCCCCCGTAACAGTATAAATTGGTGCGATTCACGAGTGTATAGTGAGACAAGTTCATAGAATAGTTTGGAACATCGGTAAAATTATCAATATTTTGCTGTTCTATATATATTTACGTTTTTAGAAAGAATGTTAATTAGAGAAATATGATATCTTAGCTTATTGAAGTTTATGAAATATGATATCTTCCAGATTTTATACAATGTACATAGGCGTAGTGTATTATTGGGAATATATTTATTAAATATACTTTATTATTAACTTTAAAATAGTTTTGAGGTAAGTAAAGTAAATTTAAGGCCAGTTTATTCTTTATATAGTATTAAACCCTTAACGGCCGCTCAATATACAAAATGAAATTTGACAATTAATTTATTAGATTGGATTAAAAACACAAATTAGGAATAAATTACAACCAGAAAGATTTTTTTTCTCGTTTTTAAGGAAAACAGTACAATTTTTAATAAAGGAACATATTATATCTTAAACGTAAATTAAATTTTAAGGTAAAAATTTTCGAAATATTCGGGATGTAGATGCATTCTACACTTTTTAGATAAATAAATAGTATTACTCTTGTACATCCTACATTTTTGCACTATCGTCTCTTTTTATAATGTGTCCAATATTGTCGAATCTGGTTTCATCTGGTAAAGCAAATTTAGATTGACGCCCATGTACTGACACTGATGTAGCGGTTTCTTCACTATTATAAATTAAAATTATAAATCTATGTCGGCTCATGCTTTCTCTTATAGTATGCACTTCTTTATCCTCATCCTTTGACCAATGCATATCAACTTGAAGCAGAGTGTAAACCAGATAATATACATATGTTAATAATTTTTTTAAATCTATGTTATTCATTTCAAAATTGTGACGGTTATTCTCAATTACTTTTTTATCAAAAAGAGTGAAAAAACTTCAATATATGACTTGCCTACATGGTTGGCTTTTATATTGTCTAAATATCAATCAGACTGATGTTGAATTACTACTGAGCACGAAAGAATATCCGTTATTATAACTTGAGATAAATTTGGATTTACTATTTTTGCCTTATTTTTACTTATTGGTTTTTTCTTTGGACGTTTTATCTGTGGTTCAGAGGAATATCATAATTAGAATCGTTAGAATTCCCAATCACTTGTATTTCATATGTACCTGCAATATCCGATTTTATTGATTCTTCACAAATAATATTATCATCAATATCTTCAAGGAATACAATAATATACCAGCAAACGAATGGGAAAGATACCTGACGGAACTGTTTAAAGCAAAGGAAAATAATAATCAACACAATAACGTACCTGAACTAAGAGACGAAATAGAAATCAGTTTTCACGAAGTAGAAATAGTCATAAATTCACTCAAAAATAGAAAGTCACCAGGACCAGACGGAATAACCAACGAGCTTCTAAAATACGGATGAGAAAGTTTAAGCCTAGAGATGACAAAACTTATACAAAAACTAATATTGCACTGCAAGATACCAGACGCATGGAGAAACAGCATAATGATACCAATGGTCAAGAAAGGAGATAAAGAAGACCCCAACATTTATAGAGGTATAAATCTACTGAACACCGCACTTAAGCTTACCACAAAAGTCCTAACCAACAAAATCAATAAACTAACAACTTTATCAGATGAACAACAAGGATTCAGATCCGGATGATCCTGCGTAGACGCCGTATTTGTACTAAGACAAATCACAGAAAAGGCCATCATATCTATGTTTTATAGACCTGACAAAGGCTTTCGATCGCATCCAAGTCGCAGACGTCTTACACCTACTGTATAAAAGGAACATACCAATCAATATTATACAAACCATCGAAAGCATCTACCTCCATAATCCAATACAAGCAAAGATAAATGGAAAACTAACACAGTGTATACCGGTACAAAGCGGAGACAGGGTGACTCGTTAAGCCCACTTCTCTTTAATATATTAATGGACGAAATAATACAAGTAGTACGTAAAAGTCATGGCTACAGAATTAGGGAACAAAGAAATCCAAATATTATGTTATGCAGACGACGCCGCATTAATCGCCGAGACAGAAGATGAGCTCTAAAGATTAACACATATCTTCAATACAACAGCTAAGAAATACAATATGATAATATCAGCGGAAAAATACAAATGTATGACATTTAAATACCCACTACGGTGTAAAATCGAAATTGATGGGAAAATAATAAAGCCGGAAGCAAGGGTTAGATATCTGGGAATAGATATAACTAGTTACGGAGATGTTGAAGGAGAAGTACGACAGCAAAGCTTAAAAGAAGGTAAAGCGGCGGGTTCTCTTAATGACACAATCTGGAAGAACAAACACCTAAGACAAGACACAAAAACAAGAATCTATAAAGCAGGAATTAGACCTATATACACGGCTGAGACAAGACCTGACACATCTAAAACGAGACGACTGCTAGAAACAACAGAGATGAAAATACTCCGACGAATATCAAGGAGAAGTCTGTTGGATAGGGAGAGAAGCAAAAACATAAGAAGAGCATGCAATATAGAAGACATAAATGGATGGGTGACAAAACGAAAACAAAAGTGGAACAAACACATCAGTAGAATGGCGGAGGATAGAATAGTACGAATAGCACGAGATAAGTCACCAAATGGACGAAGAAGTATTGGCAGACCAAGAAAAAGATGTTGCGACAATTTAAACAATTTAGGAAGCTAATATTGAAGAAGAAACAGGCTTTAAAGCCTACAAACTAGAAGGAAGAAGAAGAAGAAGATCAATGTCTTCTACATCAGAAACTTTCTAATCTAATCTCGGCGGCAAATAAACCACATTAAGTGGCATTTTCACAATCTGAGTCTTCTTCTAACAAAGCTATTAACTCTTTAGTAGTTAGTGCCATCTTCATTTCATATTTCGAGAAATTACTGAAATAAACAAATGCACTGCTATATAAACACATTCATATGATAATAGTTTAGCTTACTTCATTTTAATTTATATGAACTTCATAATATATTTTCATATTTATGTAAACGAATAAACACAACAAACTTTCAAATTAAGTTTAAAAAAAAAACAAATATAACGTTTACAGCACACAGCAATTCTATAAATAGAGAATGATGTGTATATGTGTAATTAAAATTGCAGATTGTTTTTAGTCTAATGAAAAAAAAAATATTTTTCAAAGTTTTCTGTTTTTTGAAGTTCTGTATTAGATACTCTCTAATAAGAATAAAATTTTATTTTATTTTGTTAGACAACTATAAGATACCTGTTAAAAGAGACATGATAATTTAATAATTAAATCGGTCTTAGATTTAATTTTTACGTAATTACTTATGTGTTTAAATAAATAATTAAAAATTTTTTTGGTACGCCTCTGCAAAATTGATAATTTCAATACGATTTCGTTGAAAAGTTATCGTTAAGGGCTTCGTTAAGTACGATGTTGCCAAGTAATCACCTTCAATTAAAAATTGTTTTAGTATAGTGCTAGGACAGGTGTGGCAGAGACTGATAAATTTTATGTGAAAGTAGGATTGCACCAGGGCTCGGTGTTCAGTCCTTATTTATTCTATTAGTATTGTTATGTGGGACGGATAAAGTAAAAGTAAGCGAGTAATGTGTTGTGTGACAGAAAGATTGCAATAAAACTGAAAAGAAAATTCTAGGAAACTGCCATTAGACCAGCTATGATGTTTGAAACTGAATGTTGGAAATATAAAAAGAAAGAGGAACAAATAACACATGTGGCGGACATGACAATCCTTAGAACGATGAGTGAAGTGCCAAAAAATGTAAAATTAAGAATGAGTATATTAGAGGAAGTCTAGAAGTGGCACCGATTGACGCCAAAATAAGAGACCGTGAGATAAGATGGTTTGGATGTTAAGATGGTCATTAATCACCCAATGCGAAGAATTGACAATTTGCAACTTTATGTAATGAGTTGGAGAGGAAGACCAAACAAAATCTGGGGGGAGATGCTTAGGCAGGACATGTCGGCTAATAGAATTAATATTTGTATAACCCAAGGCAGAAACGTATGGTGACATGTAATTAGCAAATTTGACCCCGCATAGAGATTAAGTCAAAGAGAAATATGATAGTGCTTTCTGTCAAGTTTAGGTTTTTATATCGAGAGCCTTCGTCTTCCTTAAAATTCTCTACTCTACTTCAAAGTATAAAGAATATTTTTAATTTTTAAATTGCGCTTTAAATGCAATTATCATAAATATTATTAAAATAAGGGAATAAAGTACTGTAAATAAAGGGATATTGAACAAGAAAAATTACCTAAATTACAGGGATGTGTGTTGAAGAAATAAATAAAGTTAAAACAATCGGACGATATGACAGAAGCCAATAGAATATTAAGAAAGAGATGCAAAAAATGGAATGAAGATAAATAGTCTCGCAAAAAAGTTATTTTTTATTTTTCTGTTAAAAAATTTCATCAGTATCTGGAATTACAAATATTTTTAAAATCAACACATACCTGACCGCTATTGGGGTTTTCTTCCCAATTTCTGAGAAAACTTTCGCAGCCGTATATTTGGTAATATCGTGTGTAACTTCAAAATAACCGAAAGCTCCAGCACCCTTAGCATGCACTACACGTTCAGGTATTCGTTTCCCTACTAAAGTGGGATAATTCGTCTATTAAAACCCAGTCTTGTAGTAAGGTAGGTCCATGATAACCAACAGTTAAACTTGCGTCTTTCTCCGCAACTGGATTACCTCCTGATGTTGTTAACCTGTCGGGTTTGTTCTAAAAATGTATAAATAATTATATAGAAATCGTATATAGTGATCGTAAGCCACCTGACTATGAGGAGTCAGCAAAAGCCAACGACCGAAGGTATAAAAGTGAAAATATTTATTTTCGAAAATCATTTTTTTGGGAAATTTAAGTGCAACTTATATTTATTTGCTTAAGAAATAAATATGAACGACACCACTATATATTCACCGAATGATTAATGGTATAAGCAATCTCCCACTTATGACCAAAGGGTTGGGAAACTGGTCCTAAAGGCGGATGAATCGAAAAATAAGTCAACGGCGTAAGGATGCAGAAGGCAACGGGGAACCACTGCATTAAAGACTCTTAGAGTACCCCTAGTAAAGTCATGAATGGCAAATGACAAGTAGAGTAAACAAATTTACTGATAATGGAGCACGGAATCCAAGATCCGGCATGGTAGGAATAACTGTAGATCATAGGGCCTCCCAGGTAGTAAACCAGAGAAATCCATGTGCACTTTAGACATTGAAAATAGCAACCTGGAATGTCAGAAGTCTATACGCAAGTAGTAAATTAGCAAACGTACTGCTTAAAATGGAAAACCTCCAAATTGATATTTGAGGTATAAGTGACAGGTTCAGGTACCAACGAGGTCAACCATCGCTATGGTGTTGCTATCTTAGTTGCAAAAAAGGTCAATTACTCTGTGAGAAGTTTTACTCCTTATTCTGATATGATCTTATCAATACAACTTCAGTCTAATAAATGTATACTAAATTTTATTCAAGTTTATGCTCCTACGGCAGATGAGGATGACGACGATATCGAACTATTTTGATACAACGAATAGAATAATCCAAAATCAAATTGATTTTGTTTGCATTAGACAAAGATTTCGTAATTATATACTGTCTGCCAAAACTTACCCTGGAGCTAGGGTGACCATATGTACTTTTTTAAGTAGGACAGTACTTTCTTTTCAAACGCTGTCCTATTGTACTTTAAAATTTATGAAGTACACCTAAATGTACTCTTTTTCTTAATTACACAAAATTAGGTCCTACTTTTTGTCCAAACAAAATATAATTATGATTCGAATTAATTCAAGAATCGATCTTTTGCGGAAGAATCAGAATCTCCTATCTTTATCACCAATCGATCTGCGATTTCATTTCGCAGCAAGATCTTATTATTATCGTATTTATTTAGTAAAAATATATATCTCGTCGTATGTTTATGTTTATTTGTTACTTGTGCGCTCACTGTTGATTAGTCTATTAACCTTTTGTCTTAAATTCCGGCAGTTTTTCTCGTTTTTTATATTATTATGTGCTGTGTGGAAAAATAAACAATTTCATCATGTCACCGCCTAGAAGAAAATGCCATTTTAACATCGAGTTGGAAGCAGAGTATCCTTTTATGAAATAAAAATCAATTGTTTCACCGCATATTGTGTTTTGCCAAGTTTGTAAAAGTGATGTAGATATTTCTAACAGTGGTCGCAGTAATATCAAACAAAATTTGTCAAAGAAAAAACACATGTTGGCTGCTAATGCGAACTCGAAGAGCAGCAAATTGGAAACCTTTGTTAAAAAGAAAATTTAAGTTTTAAAAATATGTTGATTGCTGCCAAGGAAGGTACTTTTGCTTACCATACAATTAAGCATTATCAGTTCTATTCAAATTGTGTAACATATTTGAAAAACTGGAATGAAAATTTAAGTGAACTAAAGCTATTCGGATGGGTTAACTTGAAAAAACAAGTTTCTTGGACTGAAATTTGATCGTCGTGTGAGGCTTTCAAAGACTACATAGGTCCGATATTGAATCAGGACGAACTGTTTGATAAAGTTAGTCTAATACGAACCTACGTTACAGAAGATAAAATCGCAGACTGGAATTCGAAAAATATTTCTACCAAAGATCGATGGCTCGAAATCTTCCAAAAGGAAAGTGCTTTGAAAAATCTCAAAATTCTATGTGATTTGTTTTTTGTCTGCCTGGGACCAGTGCGTCGATGGAGCGGTTGCTCTCCAATATCAATAACTATTGGAGTCCCAACAAATTTCAGTTGAAAACATCATGAAATGATGCTTGCTCTGAAGCCATCATGCAAGTCTACACAAACTTCAAAGTTTCGTGCAATGAAATGTTTCAGTTCTTAAAGAGTAAACCACAACTTCTGAGGGAAATTCATAGTTCCAAAAAGTACGACTGGTACCAAAATGATGATCAAGATGTTCAGAAAGGAACGTCGAAAGAAAATTAACTATTAAAATTTATCATACATTTTTTATGTACTTATGTTTGATTAAAAAAAAATCGTTCTTATCATTGTTTAATTAAAGATTCGTAAAATTTTGACCAGAAAAATTTCCCAGGGTACTAACAGTGTACATATATTTTCTTGAAAATTATAAATGTACTTTTTTTTTTGTTGAAAAATTATGGTCACCCTACCTGGAGCAGACATCGGTGTAGACCATAACCCCATATTAGTCACATTACAATCCAAATTTAAACTGGTTAAAAAACCCACACAAAGTAGAATTGATATTAAGAGATTAAGGGAACCACAAACAAAGGAACAAACTGTAAAAACTCTTATTACTGAAAATCTACGTAATGCCCAAGAACTGAATAAAAGTAGCTATAACATTAATCAGAAATGGCAAAATATAAAAGTAGCAATAATTAAAACAGCAAATGAAAACTTGAAACCAAAAAAACGAAAACATAAAGACTGGATGACTGAAGAAATACGACTATTAATGAATGAAAGAAAATCATTCAAAACAAAAAATCTAATTAAATATAATGAAACTGATCGATTAATTTAAAAGAGAATAAAAGAAGCTAAGGAGAGAATGTTACATAAGCAGTGCCAAGAACTAGAAGAATTTGAGACAAAAATTACTTTTTAACATGCGTAAAAGAATTAGAGAATTAACAGGAATGAGAAAAACACTTCAAACTAGGCATCTAAGAGATGAAAGTGGTGCACTTATAACATATATAAATGAAAAAATCATCAGAGATGGACACAATATAAAGCACAACTTTTTAAAGACAATGAGAGAAAAAATGGATTTGAGAACCAAAAGAATTTAAGGATGATACTGGGCCTGACATTATAAGAGAAGAAATTGAATATGCAATGAAACAAGCTAAAGGTGGTAAATCTTCCGGGCCTGATGAAGTTCCTATCGAATTACTCAAAATTGTGAATACTGAATCTATTGATCTTCTTTTGGATCTATTCAATACCAAATATAAAATAGGTATAGTATTTAAAGAATGGCTCCAAACAATATTCATACTGCTTCCCAAAAAAGTCAATGCAAAGAAGTGCATTGAAGTTTGCACCATAGCCTTAATGAGTCATGTCTTTAAATTGTTTTTAAAAGTAATTCACAATAGAATACATAAGAAATTAGATGAAGGCATAAGTAATACACAAATGGGATTTAGCAAAGGACTGGGAACACGAGATGCACTGTTTTCAGTAAGTGTTCTTTCACAGAGATGCTTAGATATAATTGCTCATTAATTTTGAGAAGGCATTAGACAGAGTGCAGCATAATCGGCTTTAAGAAATTTTATTAAATAAAAACATAGACAGTAGAGACATTAGAATCATATGTTCCTCTATTGGAACCAAACAACAAAATTGAAAGTTGAAAATGAACTGACCGAAGATATCCAGATTCGCCGTGGGGTCCGCCAAGGGTGTATTTTATCACCCTTGTTATTCAATTTACACAGTGAAGCCATCTCAGAATTAGCGCTTGCCGAGGTCAGTGAGGGCCTTATAATAAACGGTGAGCCACTTAATATCATAAGATATACTGACGACACCATCCTTCTGGCAGGAAAACTTAAAGAACTGCAACACCTTGCTGAACCACTAAATATATATTGCAACGATTATGGACTAAAAGTAAATTCGAAGAAAACCAAGTAGATACCAAATATCTTCGTACAAATATCTTGGAGCATGGATCACAGAAGATAGTGATCAGACAAAAGAAATAAAATGCAGCATTGAAATTGCACGGTCAACTTTTAATTGGATGAGAAAACTTTTTTGTAATCGCGATATCAATATATCGCTCCGGATAAAAATGCTTTGATGACACTTAAAAAATCCAACATTAAAAACCTAGAAGCATTCGAAATGTGGTGTTACCGACGTATTTTGAAAATATCATGGATGGATCGCAAAACAAACGAACAAGTTCTCGAACAACTAGAAAAACAATGCACAGTTTTAAATTCCATAAAAATCAGGAAATTGGAATATTTGGGGTACATCGTGAAAGGTGAAAAATACGAACTACTAAGGAATATAATGCAGGGTAAAATTAAAGGCAGAAGAAGCGTAGGGAGACATAAAATCTCGTGGCTACGCAATCTCCGTGAATGGTTTGGATGCAGTTCAATTGAACTATTCAGGCGCGTAACCAACAAAATTATAATTGCCAGAATGATTTCTAATCTTAGATAGGAGCATAACTTGAAGAAGAAGACACCCCTATAAACTCCCACAACTAGGACCGTTATTAGGTAAAAAACCCTTCGATATTCTACATATTGACTTTGTTCACTGTAACAAAAAATATGTACTTAACAATAATAGATTACTTTTCCAAAGATGGCCAATGTTACAAGATACCCGATAAAACTTTCATTTCAATACTAAGTAAATTAAGGCACTATTTCTCACACCACAAGTATCCAAACAACATTGTATGTGATAGCATAGCGCTACAGAATTCAATTCAGCTGTGATAAAAGAATTTCTGAACTTGCATAAAATAGAAATCCATTTTACGACAGTAAATAATTCTTCTTTAAACACTCCCGTAGAACGTTTTCACTTTACTCTTATCGAGAAACTTGGGACCCTCCAAGCTCATAACTCAAATGATTTACTAGATGACATTGTAACACACGTAATTCTAATGTATAATCAATCAAGACATAGTATTACAAACTTTTCTCCCTTTTCAATTTTATATGGTCCATATGCAGAAGAAATTAACTTTGATTTTGATCTCCCAATATATGAAACATATAACCAACCTCATAAAGACGAACTCCAACCTTTTATTACTGAATTATATAACAAAGAAAAACAAGAGAGGCAACAAATATTAGATAAGCAAAATGAAAATGCCGAACTCATACCGGATGTAGACCTTACAAAATCGTTATACGTTTAAAAGAAAAAACATAAACTTAAACTACAAGCCCCTTACTCGATAATACATCCGGAGAAACAAGATAAAACGAAAATTATCGGAAAAACAGACAAACAAAATGTAACCAGTACACACCTTAATTTGTAAAACGAATGAGAAAGGTCAAGGATAAAGATATTTAAAATTGTTCAAAGGCAAATTCCTCGCACTGGGCCATCAACTCAAGATTCAGGAGATTCCGAATAATGGATACTATATTGAAGAGATAGGAAAATCAAGAGAAATTTCCCACTATCACCGGTACTTCCTCCATATTTCTTTAGAAAAACTTTTAAATATCATTGACACTAGTCCAATAAATTACTTCAAAAATCATTTCAAAAAGCTCCCTTTTACTACTTTACTCCCGAAACAATCACTTATTGGAACAAGCAAAAGACGACCTCCACAAATTAACTCGTAAAACACAAAAGAGGACTCTTTAATTTCATGGACACTGCCATCAAGTATATTAGAGGTAACCCAGACGACACTGATTTAGATCTATTAAAGTCACACATAGTTTCTATAAAAAATAAACAAAATGAAATCATAAAAAAATTTAATAATGAAATATCTTATGGAAATTCTTTTATTGCGAGATTCGATAAGCTTTTAGAAAAAATAAATACCGATAATACCATACTTATCTAGACCATTAAGTTACAGCCAGTTACATTATCTTACACAATAAAATAATAAATCTACAAAATATAAATGAATTCATAATTTAAATCATTTTGAATTCTCTATAACTCTATATTTGACATATTTAATTCGGATAATGAATTCATTATTAAATGTGAATTGAATTCACATTCAATAATGAATTCATTATCCGAATTAAATATTTCAAATATAGAGTTATTTACTCTAAAAGAACTGGAAAATCTAAAAAATAATCTTCTTAAAATTTATCCCAGAAATTCAATACTCAGTAATAATGATCACCCATACGAACTTAAAGAATCATCTAAAACTTTATTTTGCGTAACACGAAATACAGTGCTCATAATAGTCGAAAATTCCTATACTCCATGAAAATCCTTTAAAATCTACCCAGTTCCTAATAAAGATCATGTTATGATACTACCACCTACAAATTACTATGTCAATAACAAATGGTTCGACACCTGTATTGGACAAGACGATATTATAGTATGTTCCAGCCAGGTACAGTCCCAATGTATAATACCCAATGTAGATAACTCCACGAAAACAATAGTTACTGAGAACTTTTTCCAAGAAACTAGTAAAGCCATATTGCTAGGAATAGTTCATCCAATAAAAATATAACAATTAGAGATCAAACTAACCAGCATCCTGATGACAGAAGAACCGATAACCATTGAAGGGTTTTTTTGACAAAAAGTCGTCCCAAGATATTTTTATTCCAAAGATTGTTCCGATAAAGTTAATAGCAGATTACAAAATGAAAATTGAAAAGATGAGAATCCCAGAGACACATGGTCAAATTCAACCTTTAGAAGCAACAGATGTTCTGCCTCAGCTGTCAATAGGACTAAGCACCTTGTCCATTGCCATATTACAATCTATTTCAGCTGTCTTACTGCTTTTCATAATTAAAAAGAGAAAAAGAATTTCCAAGTTTCTCTTTGGAGGGAAGTTGCATCCTGCCCAAATCCAAATAATAGAAGAGCTGATAGAAGAGGTAACCAAGATTTCGAGGACAAAGTCCAATCCAAAGGAGGGAGGAGAAATGTGACCGTAAGCCACCTGACTATGAGGAGTCAGCAAAAGCCAACGACCGAAGGTATAGAAGAAGAAGGAAGTGATTATTAATTATTATATCATTGAACTTTAATCAAAAATTTATTATTTAAGTGCAACAGGTATAAATAATTGAAATTGGACTATATTCCCAAAAAGATATTTAAAAAAAGCTAAGGTGTCACGAGTAAAAAAAATTGAGAATAATATTATAGTATAAAGAAGATGAAAACATTATTCTGGATAAATAGACCCACTTATTGCTTGCTTCGTTAAAAAGAATGAAAAAATTATACGGAAAAGCGCTAGAAAAGAAAAAATAAATGTGGTTACTTACCCCTTGCTTTCTAGCATACTCTAATAGTTGGTTAGCAGATGGATCACGGTGAGACATGTTGACACACAATTTAGCCTTAGTTAACTGTCTGTTGCACTTTTAAATTTATTTATATACTAAATAATTTATCGTACTAAATGTTTTTTTGGTAATACCACAAAGACACAAATAATATATTTTAAGGACATTGCCAGGTGTATCAGTACATTTTGTGGTATGCATTTTGTTTTTAAATAAATATTTTGATATACAACTCTTGCTTTTTCTTAACAAAAAAAAAATAGTAACTAGTTTTATTTTATGGTTTAAGTGTTTTCAGTGTATTCTAGAAGATTTAAATGTTTATTGTGATGTTCCTATTCCTATATGAGCATATACCTACACATGAACCTGAACATATCCTGAACTGATAATGCAAATCCTGGCGATAATTTTAAAATTGCAAGATATTGGCGAAATAAAAGAGGATTAACAATTATAATATATGAAATAGTAAATTAATGTCATTGCTGAGCGTTTTTTATAAAATCCCAACTTTTTTTCTGTTCTGTGTGCCGTTATGCTTGATATTTTAATCCCATAAATTTTGATACCTTCTTGTATGTTTTTAAACGCTTTGCTAAATATTGCTTCTTAGTACAAATTGAATAATATAGGCGACAATACATGGCCCCGTCGTCCTCCTCATTCCGTGAGCCCTTGTCAGTGGGTGGTGACACAGTAAATATTATTGGGTTGCTGCTTCTATCAGTTGCGATCCTGTGCCATATGAATGGTTTCATGTAGGGATTTTCCCAAAGAGAGTTTTTATTTGGTCTGCCCATCTGGAGCTCATTGTGTTGGAGAGAATCTTCTTGGTCTTCGGCCTTCTACCTTTCCTTCTACTACCAACAGTTCCATGGTCCCCGTTCTTCTACCCATGTGACCGGAGTAAATAAGGTATGCTCGTTTTACTTTTTTAATAGCCTGTCTTTAATATGAAACTCTTCCAGAATGTACAGGTTGGTTTTATGTTCTGTCCACCACATGCGTAGAATTCTTCTATAGACCCACATTTCGCAGGCTTCAATCTTATTTCTATCGATTTTTTAGTGTCCATGTTTCAGCTGCATTTGTAGTAATATGAAAAATAAAGACATTGAGCAACCTGAGTTTAGTATTCCATGTTATTCTTCGGTCTTTTCATATTTTAATCAGTTTAGCTGATGTGGTTTTAACCAGCTAGTCTATGCTTTATTTCTGAAAAGCAATCGCCAATGTTAGTTTTCAGGGAGCCCAAGTATATAAATCTATCTACCACTTCGAAATTCGCTACTTGATCTATAATAAGTATTTGTTTTGGCAAGCTATTATCAATTCTAATTTTTGCTATTTGCTGCCAGTACAGATTTTTAATTAGCCTTATGTCTTTATTGTCTAATTTCATAATATTTAGTAGTTGTAAAAGTTTACCGTGGTTGACTTTATCAAAGACCTTCTCCAAAGACTTTATCAAAGACCTTCTACTAGTGGTGAATAGTATTTGTTAAAAGAGCTTCTCTCTTATTATGGATATTATACATAAATATTCGATAATGGATTGGTACTTTAAGAAGTAGGTATTTTGAGAGCGTTTTATCAATCTAAAATCATTGCAATTGCAGGATTGACTTTTTAGGTAGTGGACCGAAGATCAATTTCAGCCATTCCTGTGGGATCTCTTCTCTTTTATAAATTAGATTGAATACAAATGTTAATAGAGTTATATTTTTGCCTTCAATGATTAATTTCAGTAGAATAATATTTACTGAAATTAATTGATTATTAATGAGAAGTTATGAGGACTTATAAAGGTTGAGAGATGAGAAATTATTAGAACTAATTTCTCTCGATCAAGCTTTAGAGACAAGATATGACCAGCAGCATCTAAATCAGTTTTTCCAAAATCAGTTGAATATTCCATACCAATAACGAAAGCATGCAAAAATTTAAAGCCGACATTAAAAGATTATTGCATTTGGCGTACCCTCGGGCACGTAAAGATCTCTCAACAATAAGCTATCCGATTACAACATCAAAAAACTCGAAATGTAGCGCTAATCTTAGCCCAGAAGTATGAAGCGGCCAAAAGCATTTCCAGGTCACGCTTAAAGTTATAAAAAATAAGATTTAAAGAAAATGAAGGAATCACTATCGAAGATAATTTTATTTTTTAATTGCCGTATTGCCAGACTGTATTAAGAGACTATATGTAGTAAGAGAGAGGTATCCATTGAATTCTGACAGGCAACGGTAAGGGAAATTTTTTTTAGACATCTAACGTCATGGAGCAAGACACCCTGGCGTCTTCCAGCCAAGTACGACACCAAAATACCCCAGGATAGTGCCGAATTAATCGTGTTCCGGCAAAAACCTTAATATAAATATAAATATAAATATAATATAAATATTATCTTTATATTCCAAAACCAAATATCCTATAGACAAATTAGATCAAACAAATGTAGTATACAGCATTGGTTGTACTCAGTGTGAAGCTAAGTATATTGGTGAGACTGGAAGAAAATCTCTCAAATCACATTATTTCTCACAAAAGTGATTGCAGAATTAAAAAACCATCTTGTACTTTGGCAGAGCATGTAATAGACAAAGACCATATATTATGGATTTTGATAATATTAAAATTTTATGTAGTGAAAGTAATAAATTTAAAAGAACTTTTTTGGAAGTGGTTTGTATTAGCAAAAGTAATAATAATTTAAACAAAAGGTCAGAAATTCAAAATCTACGCAAAATTTATAATTATATTATTTCTATGTAATTTATATGCAATCAGTAAAATATCACATTTTGAATTTTCCATGTATTTGTTACATTTTTTCAGACATCTATCAATGGTGAATAAATCTTCTTCTTTTTTGTTAGTAAACAAAAAAGAATTTTTTAAACAAAATTTTATTTTTGACAATATGTCAATAAAAAAAAATAGGAATTTTTAAGTTGGTATTTATGACATTGAGGCTGATTTGTAGCTATTCAATTTTTGTTTACAAATTCAATTGTTTTTGTTAAGAAACTTTATCAAAATTTATTTCAGAGAAACATTTATTAGAATAGGACATTTTTTTTAATAATATTTTTTGTAATAATATGTTAACAGCAGTTTTATATAAAAAACTAATTTTATTTGGTGAGTTAACAAAAATTTTTTTATTTTTAGTTCAACTTTGTAAGATATTTTGTATATTTTAGAAGCTCTTGATAATAATTGTAATCACAATTGAAAGCTCGAGTAAAAAATAGTCAACAAATAGCCCCTTTTATTGACTCCACAGCCAACCATCCAAAACAGTTTTATATTTTTTCCAAACGAGTCACAAGTACTTCTTTTTTCTTATATATTTCTATATATATATATATATATATATATATATACCGGGTGGTGAATCGTCAAACGGACCATAGGAAACTCAATGGTAAATTCTAAATTGTTGAATTCCTGCTTCCCTAATTATTTTACACCAAAAGTCATGGGAAACTATTTGTAGAGGACTCAAATATGTATCGAAAACAACTGTTAAAATTATTCTACGACTTAAACGTATTCCAAAATTTTGCTAAAATATAATACATTTTTCAGGCCACCCCTAAAAGTTAGGCCACACGTAATGCAAGAATATATATTATTACGTTTGTGTTTTATCATATTTATGTCAGATGTTTGACAATTTGAATTGTCAATTTTTTTATTTTATGATTAAATTATAAACAATGAGTTTTACTAAATACTACTACTAATGAACATTATTACTTTGTGAACAATAAATTATATTGTTTACAAATCGATCAATATAAATGTACTCAGTTGACGAAAAATCGCATAATGTTGTACTCAGGCAATAGCGCGAACCTTTTCCTGCCACTACCGGATCTTTATTTAACGTAAGATATTCTAATTCACTAAAATTTAATTCCATGTTAAGTTATACAACAATTCAATGAATTCCAATATACTGTTACTGTGATCTTTATTTCTAATAATAATATATGATAATTTATAAACATAAAACTATAACAAGTGTTACAATAAAAACATGAATAAAAAATTTTTATTATTGCTTTTTTCTCCTCAACTGAGTACATTTTTTAATCAACTTTTTTTTTAACAATAAATCACAAAATTTTGGCCATTTAAATCATAGATAAATGTAATATAATTGATTTAAATATTGTCAAATATCAGAAACAATAATATGACAAAACGCAACACGTAATACACATTTTTTCACAGAAAAATGTATTATATTTTAGCAAAATTTTGGAATACCTTTAAGTCGTAGAATAATTTTAACAGTTGTTTTCGATACATATTTGAGTCCTCTACAAATAGTTTCCCATGACTTTGGGTGTAAAATAATTAGGGAAGCAGGAATTCAACAATTTAGAATTTCCCATTGAGTTTCCTATGGACCGTTTGACGATTCACCACCCTGTATATATAAATATATATATGTTCGGAAATATTTACGCGGTTAGTACAATGAAACCTAGAGCTAAGATTAATACTATTACTAAAGCTTCCGACCCAGACACTACTGCATTTGTCACTGTTCACTGCACTATCACTACTACAGTAGTATGCACTGCACTATTAGTACTACCAACAGTGACAAGTTTAGTAGTGTCTGGGGCCTCGGCAGACTGAGACCTCGGAAGGCCTGAGGAAGACATCAGAGACGATGTCGAAAGCTCGGCTCAATGGATATCGACGCGGTTCAACCCGGAAGGCTGGTGAGTTTAATATTAATTTTTGTAATAGTATTAATCTTAGCTGTAGGTTTCACATATTCTATAACATATTCTATAACATTTTTGAATTCTACAAGAAGTGGAGAAGCAAGTGCATTAATAAAAAACGGGTTTTTGGGATCGTTTTTGGAAAAATAAATGGTTCGTTAAGGAGTTAAAGTATGTTTTTGGGGCTACTATTTTGTTTTGCTGAAAGAAGTCGAGCTTATCACTTCTGACTATCGCCCCTGACGTTTTTATCTCCAGGACCATATTCTCCTGTTTTAACTATGTTACATATTTTGTTTTGTTCCTATTTAATTAAGTTAAAAAATAGTAGTAAATTAATTAAAACTTTATTACTTAAATTTGTTTGTACTACAATATTACATATTTCAATTTCAATAATTTATAATGATGAATAGAACCTAAAAGATCCTTTGTAACAATGAGAGTTTGAAACTCTTTTAGAGAGAAGTATTTGAATGTATTTTGGTAGATGTACCATCATAATAAGAGCTACCGAGACTACAAATGGTTTACCAAATTAAGTTCAAATACATATTACAAATTAATATGAGGTGAAGATCCTAAACGGTGCCTTATTTTTCTACCGAAATCTTCGTCCACTTTAGAAAACATGTCAATAGCTCTATCTTGCAGCTCCTCTTTCGTAGGTTTTAGCCAAGTTACAATATTGTCTATCATTCTCGACCGTTCATCTTCTTTCATAACTTTTTGGTACAAAAGCCTTGCTTGCGTAAAGTTGTCATCGTTGCCATTGTCGATCCTTTTTGCTTCACCTGAAAAACATTCTATTTAAACTTTTAAAGTCACCTTTAAATACTTAAAACTACTATTTTTTTAAATTAGAAAATATCAAAACTACTCCAGAGGCAAACAAACAACTAACTTTTTTTCATTTTATTTTTTTGTCGTAATATTGGCTAGAACCTCAGTCATTTTCTTCCTGCTATTGTGCGTTTTCATTTTAATAAGAAATGCCTAATAGCAACCCGTATTTGTAACATTGTCAGGTATGAAACATGCAAAAACATACGTACCACTTAAAGGAATTACGGGACTTAAGGCCTTGGCTCTTTTATCAATTCTAGGTCCATGAAAACTGTTTGGATGATAATTAGGGGCTCCACCATGGCTATGTAGCGTAGAATGGCCATCTCTAGAGAAATGAGAAGCCTTAAAAGGAGCGTTTACAGGCAGTTGTAAATGGTTTACACCTAAACGGTAACGATGAGTGTCACCATAAGCGAAGAGTCTTCCTTGGAGCATTCTATCAGGTGAAGGTTCAATTCCTAAAAATTATTTAATATCGACTATATTTTAAATGTACTAGATATTTTATTATTTACAAATTACCATAATCAGTAAATAATTCTAAAAATTCTTAAACAATGCATAAAACAGGGAAAATGAAATTGTGTCAGCACTGTAGTCTGATTTATTTTTAACACGTTGTGGCCGGAGTTCATTTTTTCCTTTTAATACTAATTTTTTTGGTTGATTTATGAACCGGTACACATAATAAGGGATATATTTTATAGAAAAAAAAAATTTATCAGAATCAATTCTTTTGGTGAAATTTATAAAAACAATTGTTTTTTTCACTTTAACAGAGTTCAACACGACATGTAGAACAATGCCATCTAGAACGATGTGGTTGCGCACGCGTACTGCAATGGGCACAACGAACCTTATTTCCGTGGATTGGAAGATGGGCACATTTATCATATTTTATTTCAGGGGAAACTATAGTCTTAAATTTATTTGGTACACCTTGAGAACTCCTTCTGTCCTTTTTATCTGGATCTGGTTGTGCTCCAATTAATCCCAACGCTACAGCTAATCTAAAGTCTTTCAGAGAAAAACTTGTTACGTTTTCTGTCCGGTCTCTATATAAAATATAACTATTTACTACAGATAGATCCAGAAAATGCCAAAACAACCTATGCCACCATTTCTTAGACTTGCGATTTATTTTGTATAAAGAAATATACATATCTGTCTGGTCGACATACCCCATATGCTTGTTATAGTCTTTGACTATTTGAAGACAAGCAATGTCTTGAGAGGTACCATCTTTGTTTTTTCTGGAAACAGTTTGGATATCATTTGGGTTGTGGAAGTTACTGAGAAATAGAACTGGCTTGCTGTCTATCCACTTTAGATATACTAGACCTTCTTCAGTGATCCTCCATTCTGAAGTTCCTCTTGCCATTTTTGTTTTATCGTTGACTAAATTTGTTGGCTGATTCTTACGTTTCTTTCTCATAGTTCCACATGAGTAAATGCCATCTTTCAAAAGGTCACTGGCTAACTGGATAGAATTTAAAAAAATATCAAAATATATTTTATGATGCTTGCCTACAAGTAGACGGGTTAAATCTTTTACTACTCTGGAACCTAAACCTTCTTCGCCAGAACCAACTTTTCCAGTATAAATCTGGAACTGCCATACAAACCCAGAACTATCTGCTCGTATTCAAATTTTGTACCCCTTTTTATTAGCTTGAGAGGCATATATTGACGAAAACCTATTCTCCCTTTATATTTGACCATCAATTCATCGATACTTTGATTTTCACCAGATTTATAGCAGTTTGCAAAAGTATGTGTTAGCCTGTCAATCATTGGTCGTAAGTTGTATAGTTTATCATAGCCCTCGTCACCTTTCTGGGTTGTACTGTTCATATGCAAATGTCCCAACATCCATGAAAATCGATCCCTGGACATGACCGATGATATAAAGTAATCCCTTACTTGAAATTTAGATGACTAATGGTCTTTATAACTAGGCTTCTTTGTAAGTCTCATCATCAAATTTATTCCAAGGAAACACTTCATTTCGGCAACATTCGTGGGAATAATACGTTCACCAAATTGCTGCGTTGCATACAGATTTGTTTGAAAATCCATGGTTTCAATTAATTCATTCGGAAATAGACATAAAAACGTATCTATAGGACTTTCAATTTGCTCAGGTATGCTGGGTCCAAAACTTTCGGTAAAGGGTGCAGTTGTAGTAAAAAAATTTGCATTACTCGTCCATTTGAATTTTTGATTTTGAGCTGCCTCAATGTCAGCATCCTCGTCATTCTCACTGTCACTATTATTTGATATGACTTGAAACTCGTCAACCTCAAACTCATCTAATTCATCCTCAGATGGAGCCCCTGAAGTGACAGACTCTAAATCTGATGGTATTTCTTTAATCAAAGGATATGCCTCGTCTGAGGCCAACTTCCTAATGTCCATGACCAACACCTGAAGTAAAACAAAAACAGAAATGTAGGCATATCCCACTGACCTGGTGGTTCCATAGGAGAGCCACACATTTTATTTGCAAATAGTAAATTTATCAAATATCACAAAAGAACCGCATAACAAACAGAAATAACAAAAAACTTACCGAATAAATTGCTGATTTCAAATAAAATATATTGTTTGTCGTTCTTCACTTCACAACACTCGTGACTTATACAAAACAACTGTCGATGTCGATTAGTGTTTCTGAACAATAAAATAATACGGCGGCAAGATTTGTATGAACTGGGGATATACACAGAAATGCACTCTCGACAGTGTGGTTCCAAGCAATCACTTCTAGGCCGTTAACAAGAATTATTTTATTTGTGGTATCTGAATGGAACCACTAGGCCCCAAAGGGTTTAAACTACATTTTAGGACCTTCCTGTAAATTATCTTTGGTAATTGTCACATTTATGTATTATTATTATTGGATAAATTTCTATCAAGTATTGTTACGTCTGTGGTAGCAAAATAAGTTTTTCGATTATCTCTTGGTCTTTGTTGTTGAAAGAAGAAGTAATGTTCCATTTTGCTAATCTGATTGTGGGCTTATTTTTCCTTCTCGTTTTCTTTTTCTCTGCACGGTTTGTCATCTTAGGTTCTGTCTGGTTCCGAGGCGTTCTATCGGTTCTTTGAGCCTTGTGTTCTTTTACATTGGATAGGATGCTAACTTGGCTCCTAACCTCCTCTTGGGACCGGTTGTGGGCATAAACGTGGCTTCTGAACTACTTAAGCCAACCAGTTCTGGTGGCCATATTAAATGTTTACGATCCGACAAATATTAGAATAAAACTGGGAATTTAACCAAAATATACACCAAATTCTCGTAGATTTCCAGCGAGCATATGATTCGATAAAAATAAGTAGACTATGGCTATCAATGCTAGAAATGAGAATACCAAGAAAATTAGTGGAGCTAACTCAAATGTGCGTCAGAGACTCATATGCACATAGGAAACAGAACATCGATGCCATTTAGTATAACATCAGGACTTAGACAAGGAAACCCCTCATTACCGTCGCGTTGTTACTCAATTTGATGTTAGAATATGCAATAAGTAAAATATCGTCTGAGCTGACAGTGGAATTTGAGAATCGAGGATAAAAACTATTGTTGGCCTTTGCTGATGATCTAGATGCAGTAGCTCATTTTACAAGAGACGTGAGGAGGAGTTTCACAATTCGAACAGGAAACAGGTAGTCTGGGTCTTTCCATAAATGAAGAGAAGACGAAATATATGCTAGCAACCAAAACTCTAAGACCAAGAGTTAAGCAAAACATAACTATTAATAACCACAATTTTGAATTAGTAGAAGAGTTTAAATCTCTGGGGACGGTAATCACAGATGAAACCACATAGAAAAAGAGGTCTCAGCAAGGAGAGCTACAGGGAATAGAGCATTATACTTCCTATCATCAATATAAAGATCTAAGCTGCTAAAAAGAAAATCCAAATTAAGACTGTGCAAGTTAATTATTTGACCAGTTGTTACATATCGAAGGTGAAACTTGGACTCTACATCAGCGGGAAATAAATAAGTCGCTGTTCTTTGAAAGGAAGGTTCTCAGAATAATATTTGGACCTTAAAGAGATGAATTGACAGAAGAGTTGAAAAAGCATAATGCTGAATTAGTGACTCTGTATAGTACTGAAAACATCGTCAAACATAAGATAAGATGGACAGCTTATGTGGTAAGATCAGAGGGAGACAGAGTTTTTGAGAGACCAGACGGTAGAAGATCAGTGGGCCATACTAGAAAAAGATCATGTTGAATCCGATTTATATAAGATTGGGATATAACGGAAAATGAGAGTGCAAGATCGTAGAGGATGGAGGGATATAGTGGATGCGGCGAAGACTCACCGCACTTACTCACATAGTTGTAAAGCCAGTCACGAAGAATAATATATCTTACTAATATTTCTTATAATATTCCTTAAAAACTGTGTATGATATTTGTTGTTGCTAGTGCTATGCAAGGGTAAAAAATTAAGTAAAAGCATCGGCATTGAACAAGCATCGTTTGGAGTTTTTGTTAACTCTAATGTAGTCCAGCTTGTTTTAAGAAATCTATTGTAATATGCTTTTCTAAAATTATATTTTTTGTAACATTATTAGAAAGGAAATTATTTATCAACGTGATAATAAACTAAAAACACAAATGATAGTGAGTGGTGATGATCACACTCCCTGATTAGAAGATAAATGCTCCTTCAAACTTCACAATGAAAACAAGAGGAAATCAAATCCAATAGTTTATTGTTTTATATCAGATACAAAAGAAGAACCACTAAAATCCTTACATACAAGTTTATCAATACTTGTATCAATTTCCTCACAAAATATTTTAATAGTACATTGTTTACCGGGTAGGAAAAGCTTAACATTCCTGGACGACTGTGAAGATTCTGAGTCCTGTGAAGAACACAGAGTCCAGGAATGTGGCTTTTCCTACGAGGTAAACATACTATTTTTCCGCAAATCGTTTAAAATTCGACAGATATTGATTGATTTAAAAAAAAAACGCGATAATTTTATTCCCAAATAAATGGTGCTTTGAAATTCCTAATAAAATTACTTGGGTTACTATGGAAACGTATTGAGGTTGAATTGTCAAACTTGACGCTTATAATTTTAATTGCTGGTGTTCTCGAAAGTAAAGTGATAAGTGATGATGAAATTTCCATTCCTGGGACTCCTCCAAAGCTGGCTGAGGCAGTGAATACTGCTTCATTAGAATTATTGCCAAAGAAATCAAGAGAAAAGTACGAAAATGCATACAGACGTTTTATGGATTATCGCATGAGTAAAAATACGAGTTCTTTCTCAGAAAATGTTGTAATGGCATACTTCCTAGACCTTTGTTTAAAGATGAAATCTTCAACATTATGGGCCAATTATTCAATGCTGAAGTCAACCGTTGCACTTAAACACAATGTAGATATATCTACATACTCAAAACTTCGTTCTTTATTGAAACGGCAAGCTCAAGGTTATAGCGCAAAGAAATCTAAGATTTTAACGAAGGAAGAAATTGAAAAATTTATCCAGGAAGCTCCAGATAAAGAAAATTTAATGATTAAGGTAATTTACAAGGTTTTAATTTCTATTTAGATTATAGCTTTATTTATTTTTTAGGTGGCTGTAATATTTGGTATTTCTGGGGCCTGTAGAATGGATGAGTTAGTCCGAATGACTGTACACGATATAGAAGACTTAGAATCTAAGCTTTTAATCAGCATACCTGATTCGAAAACCAACAAACCAAGATCATTTGTAATTAATCAGATCTACTTGAATGTTTATCGAAAGTACTTTTCGTTAAGACCAGAAAATATGAACAGTGACCGATTTTTCTTTAAATATTAAAGCGGAAAGGGTTGTAGACAAGTGGTAGGAATTCATCAATTTAGAAAAATGCCCAAAATAATTGCTACTTATTTGAACTTGGTAAGTCCGACAGAATATACTGGTCACTGCTTTCGTCGGTCTTCTGCAACAATATTGGTTGACTCTGGTGCCGACATAACTAGTTTAAAGAGGCATGGCGGATGGAAGTCATCAAACGTTGCTGAAGGATATATCGAAGAATCGCTTAACAATAAGGTTGAGGTGGCAAATAAAATTTTCACAGTACAAAATATTCAACAAAATGACACTTCCACCCTGCATGTTGTCCTAAATGTTTCTCATAGTTCTAAGAGTGTTCCTCCAATGTTCAATAATTGTACTAACTGTCAAATTACTGTAAATTTAACAAATTGATCTTAAAAATGTATTCAGCAATGACTTAATGTTTTCAAAATATAAATTAATTCCTTATAAGCAATGTGTTTTCTATCATTTATGTAGAACACTAACAACTGTACGGAAATATCATTTCCTTACAGTAAGGAAATGACATTTCCTTACAGTAAGGAAGTCCTGACTTTTTCTTCAAGAAATTTTGACAGGAATGTCAAAATTTCCTGGCGATTTGCGGAAAATTCAAATACTTAATTCAAATCTTTCTTTTTAACTTTCCAACATTTAGTTTGTGTGTACAACTAATTAATCATACAAGGCTTTCCTTTCATTCCCACATACACATACACAAAACATTCAATACTTCTTTATCAAGTTCAAATTTCACTGACATTCGCATCCGTTGTTACAACTTCTAACTCCTTATCTTTTATTTCACTATCAGCAAATATACCAACTCCATTTCTAGTGTTATAGAATAGAATAACGAATTAAAAAAAAACAATTAAAATGGTATGGACACCTGAGACGGATGAACGAAGAAAGGATACCACGAAAGGTTTGGAACTGGAGACGTACACAGAGAAATAAAAGGGGAAGGCCAAGAAAGAAATGGATATCCAATATTCATATAGAAATGGAAAATAGAGGTCTTCAAGAAGGAGACTGGGCCGATAAGAAATTATGGCGATTGGGATGCGAGAAGCGACAAAATTAAAGTTGCAAACACTCGCTATATATATATATATATATATATATATATATATATATATATAATATATATATATATATATATATATATATATAGAATAGAATAGAAATATGCTTTATTGTCGCTGAAAATTGCACAATTTTATGGACAAAGCTTACAAAAAGAAAATAATAAGTTAATAGTTTAACTTGCTGCATGTGATACCCAAATATATATAAAAATAAAATTAATGGGAAAATCTTAGTAGTTGGCTGTATACTATCGTTTAAAAAAACACAGAAGTTAAAACACTTCACACTTGTATTGTGGTATAAAAACACATAGTTAAAACTTTTTAAAAAAGTGTCGTCAAAATTTATGTACTAGCATAACGTTTTCGATCTGAACAGATCATCCTCAGTGCCTTGTGTAATTGAAGCTAACAATAAAGTTATCACTGAGACCTCCATATATCGGTTTACACCATTCCTTCTTTTCATCATAATTTTTCCTTCCAAAAAACACAATCACAGCTTAAGACCCTCAAATCAATCAAACAGAAAATTTCAAGACACAACCTAATTTTTTCTAAAGCTAATAAAGGCAATTGTTTGGTTATCCTAGATGGTGATTCAAATGACTATTTAAGGTTGCTGTCTATAAAAATGCCAAGAAATTTTATCCACGTTAAAAGAGCATAAATTAGCGTCGGACCAGGTTTTTATTTTAAGTAGATCACAAGTTATAGGTGCACGAAGAGTTGCAATATTAGAGTTCTTCCAGGTGATACTGTTATCATCAGCAAAAAGAAAATATTTCCATCGATTTTTAAGTTAGTGATGTTATTTATAAAGATAAAGAAGAGTAGAGGAGCCAATACTGAACCTTGTGGTACTCCACATACAACGCTTTTGTAGCTAAAGTAGTATCATTTGCTCTAACTAGTTTTGGTATAGTCACAAAAAATAGTGGCAGTGTAAAGATTATTGTTTAGTGCTTGATAGACCATATGTAGTACAGAAAACATAGCATCATTGGTACATTTGTTAGATAAAAGCCGAACTAAATGTGATAAAACGTTGTTTTCAACGAGAAAGGACATATTAATTTTGGATAGGACCGGTAGTAAGGTAATAGGTCTATAGTTGCAGATATTCGATTTTTTACCACTCTTATAAAGAGAAATAATAATGGCTGTCTTTAAGCACTCTGGAAATATAGATTTTTCAAAGGAATCATTAATTGGTGAGACCAGGACTTTTTTGGGATATTTAAGAAAATTTATGAGGATAGTCCATCAGTACTACAGAAAGATTTGCTTTTGATACTACTGATTGTTTGGATCAGTTCAAATTGATCAACTGGTCTTATAAAGAATGAATTCAAGACCTTTTTGATTTGAGGAGATAGAAAATAGGATCTTGTTGCCGCAAAATAGTTGATGTTATATTTTTACTCACATTACTGAAGTATTCATTTAAAATTTCAGAGTTTGGAAGAGAAAATGTTTGAGCTGTGTTAGTTTTATTTCAAAAATCGTTTATTATGGACCAAGTTTCTTTGGCAATATTTTTAGAGCTTCTCAGACGTGTTTGATAATACAGATTTTAAGCTGTTTTAATAAGTTTTAGATAGGTTCCTGTGTACATGGAGATATATTCAGTAACAAAGATGTTGGTAGTAAATTTCTTGACGTATAGTCTTCTTCTCTTCTTACGGTGCCTATCCATTCTGGATGTTGGCGATCAACATGGCTATCCTAACTTTGCTTACTGCTATTCTGAATAGTCCAGTTGTCGATGTGTTAAACCACTTTCTCAGGTTTTGAAGCCAAGATATTCTTCTTCTCCCTGGTCCTCTCTTCCCAAATACCTTGCCCTGAAGAATGAGTTGCAACAAGCCGTATCTCTGTTCATTCCTCATTACATGGCCAAGATATTCCAGTTTGCGCTCTTTGATGGTGTTAATAATCTCGCATTCCTTGCCCATTCTACGTAGGACATTAACATTAGTCACACGATCCACCCATGAAATTTTTAAAATACGTCTGTAAAACCACATCTCGAAATGTGGTGTGTGGTACATGATGTATAGTAGTGAACGCATATTCTTGACTGATATGCGAATACCTTTGGTAGTATAGGTTACTTTTACTTACATACTACAACTTAAGGTCCTTCACCTAGTTCTTTCGCGTTTTCCACCTAATCTCTTGAATACAAGCAATTTTCACTTTCCTCCTTTTCAGCGCATTTGTCAACTCCATACTATTAACTGTAACACTTCTAAGATTCTAAAACCCTATCCTAATGTTTCTAGCATGTAATGATGTTTCTCGTGAAAAAGTCCTCAACCGGAAATTGGAGAAAGGTTTTTGCATTATTATAGGCTGAAAATATTTTCGGAGATTAATGCCTTTTTTATCAGAATCATGTTCGGCACGACTTTTCCAACACACTACCGATGCAACCAAACTGCAGTATTACCCCATAACTGCTTACATTTTTCTGTACGGACTAGGAGCCCTACTGTAAGTGCTGCTCTAAATATATGTTAAAGCAATATCAATGAATGTTCAAACATTATTTGTATCCATTTTTATTTTAGTTACATTGAAGTCATTATTTCCTTCTATAAGAGAACCACCTTCTTTGAAAAGACGATTAACATTAAAATCACGACCGCTTCTAAAAATTAACTATGCAGATGAAAACAAGTCACTATTCCTTACAAAGGCAGTTAACCACTATTCTGCTATGAAAATCATAATAAATTCGCAATAGGAAACACAAATCCACTATTTTTGAATTAGGTCCAGTTACATTGTGAAAGTAACTGCTGAAATTGAAAGACTGATTATTATGATTATGTATAATCTACTGTAGAGAAAATGTTTGTTCTACTATCTATCGCAGACTTATCAAGGTTTTAGACACACATCAAACAAATTTATATCTAATTACCTGGAATAAGATGAGCAGGATCAAAGCCAATTTGCTCAACTTCAGCAAAATAGTTGGATGGATTTTTGTTTAACGTGAATTTTCCAACGGGTATCAAAGGATATTCAGAATGTAACCAAACTTTAGTATCATCAAAAGGATCGTACGGGCTTTTTTCTGCTTGCTCCGGAGTCATTATTTGAACGTAGAATTTCCAAGATGGATAGTCTCCGTTTTCTATAGCATTGTAAAGGTCCCTGACGTGATAATCGGGATCTTCCCCTGCCAATTTTTGTGCTTTTTCTGGTTGAAGATTTTCAATACCTAAAATAGTAATCAGCCAAATGTTTTAGTTGTAGTTTATAGAGAAATTTTGTTACATTTACCTTGTTCACTTCTGTAATGAAATTTACAGTAAAAGAATTTGCCGTGTGAATTAACGAAAGCGAAAGTATTGGTGCCAAATCCGTGCATTTTTCTAAAGCTACTAGGAATTCCTCTATCAGAAAAGAATATTAAGCAAGTGTGTGTAGTCTCAGGTCGTAGAGTTATCATATCCCAAAACATATCATAATCAGGTCGCATGTGAGTAACAGGGTTTCTGAAATAATAATTTATTAAAACCTTACGAAAGTTAAACATTTTTGTAGTGATATATTTTGTTTTTAGCATCGTCTCTCACTTCTTTGTTCAGGTCTCCACATCTAGACAGTGTAATTCCCAGGTATTTTATTTTCATTACTTGTTTAATGCTGATGCCACTATTTTACATCTGGTTGGTTCTTTGCTGACTACTATTGTTTAGGTTTTCTGAGATGAAATTGTCATATTAAATTCTTTTAATATGACAATCACTCTTATGGCAAATCTGTGAAACAGTTTTTGCAGACTATCTTCATCTTGGGCTATCAATATTGCGTCGTCTGAGTAATAGAGTATTTTGATTTCTTTGTTTCCCATACTATATCCTCTTCCTTTGTTAACGCTTTTGATGATTTCATCCATGATCAAATTGAAGAGCATGCAGCTCAATGAATCCCCTTGTCTTATTCCGCTGCCTATTTCTATAGGTTCTGTATAACCTAATGTATCTACTCCATTTACTATTATTTAAAAAAAAAATGATTTTAATAAAAAGTCACTAAAATATATAAAAAATATGCAGAATATGTTACAATTAAGATCATAATATATTTGATTATTTTATAAATATTTTTCATCGTTTCAGAAGCCCCTTACCTTTTCATAACATGTATAAAACTAGGAAACACAGCACAATCTTTAACAAAGAATATTGGTGAGTTATTTCCAACCAAATCCCATATACCATCTTCGGTATAAAATTTTACAGCGAATCCTCGAACATCTCTAATTGTATCTGGATAGCCCAATTCTCCAGCTACTTGTGAAAACCTTAAATAAAATATTTTATAAATACTCGTTTTTTACAATTACATGTCGAGGTATAACTATAATAAAAAACGTGTTATTTACTTTATTTTTACAGCAGCAACTTAATGTGTATAAAGATGATCAACGCTAGAAACTTGAAAACGATCCAAGGACACGGTGCAAGTGCCGCAAAATAGAAAACACTGGATTGATTTGGGAAGGCCCATGTAAAAAGTTGGATTACTTAAGGCTAAAAAAGAAGAAGTAGATTTCAATTTTGGTCACTAATGTTCACAATGCGGACATTGAATCTGACCACATACCTTTAGTGGGAGTCATGGATGTGAGACTGAAGACAATAAAGAAAAAGTCTAGACCTAACGACATGACAGCCCTGCAAAATCCGGAAGTTAAAAAGCAAGTGGGGGAATATATTAATAACCAAGTTAAACAACTAAAAGAAGAAAATAACATCCAACGAGAAATCAATCAATTCGAAGAAATAATTAAGAAAACTAAACAACATCTGCTAAAACCAAACAAAGAAGAAATCTTGAATGACTCCAGAAATCCAGAAAAAGCTAAAGAAAAAGAAGCTATAGAGAAATGTAAAGAAATAGAAAGACTACAAGCCAAGCATGACAATTTCCATGTACACAAAAAGGTAAAAGAAATAACAGGTACTTTTAAAAAGCGAACACAAATGAAACTCATAGACACCAATGGAAAATTAATCATTGACACCCAAGAGATTAAAGACAAACGAAGAATATAGTTGGAGACACTTTTTCAAGATCAAAGAACGGATTATAGGCATCCATTTTCAAAAACTATGACGGGCCCGGACATACTTAAATCCGAGGTAGAAGAAGCAATAAAACGGATGAAAAGCAGGAAAGCTGTAGGGCCTGATAATATCGAAGCTGAATTTTTAAAACTCTTGGAGGAAGAAGGGATAAATTGCATCACGGCTGTCTTCAATAAAATATACAATACAGGAATCATCCCTGATAAATGGCTAGAATCAGCATTCATAGCGATACCTAAAAAACAGGGGGCTAAAAGTGCGAAGAATATCGAACAATCAGCCTAATGAGCCACATGTTGAAACTGTTTCTTAGAGTCATCCAAGGAAGAATTTATAACGAGTGCGAGGAACAAATATCGGACAGACAGTTCGGCTTCATTAACGCAGTGGGTACCAGTGAGGCACTTTTCGGAATACAGGTACTGATTCAAAGATGCAGGGACGTTAACTGCGACGTATACGCGTGCTTGATCGTCTATGAAAAGGCATTTGACAGAGTTCAACATCAAAAGATGATAAACATTTTAAAAGAAGCAGACCTGGATGACAAAGACCTCAGAATAATTTCAGAACTCGACTGGAATCAGACCGCATACATGAAAATTAACGGAGAAGAAACAGATCACATAAAAATACTACGTGGAGTTAGACAGGGATGTATCCTATCGCCGTTGATATTTAATATGTACTCAGAGAAAAATTTTAACGAGACTCTTTACGGAATAGACGAAGGCATCCTTCTAAATAGTGAAAGAGTAAACAATGTTAGATATGCCGACGACACCACGGTGATAGCAGATAATTTAGAGGGACTTCAGAGGCTAATGAACAGAATAAACGAGTACAGTCAACAGTACGGACTAAACATTAATACCCACAAAACGAAACAAATGATTATTAGCAAGGAGAATATAAACGGGGCTCAAGGCAGATAGAGCGAGTAAAACAGTATTGTTACCTGGGAACTATTAAAAACGAACAGTGGAGCAATGTACAGGAAATAAAGTGCCGCATAGGAATGGCAAGAACGTTCTTTAACAAAATGAGCGCCATCTTCAAAAGTCACATATCCCTAGATACAAAAATGATACATTTGAGATGCTATGTTTTCTCTGTGTTGTTGTACGGGGCGGATGCATGGACGCTTACAGACACCACTATTAAAAAACTTGAAGCATTTGAGATGTGGCTTTATAGAAGAATGCTGAGGATATCATGGACAGTAAGGATCACGAACAAGGAAGTTCTAGGAAAAATGAAGAAGGAACCAGAGATTGTGTTTACGATCAAACGCATAAAATTGCAATATCTGGGACACGTTATGAGAAATCAGCACCGTTACTCCCTGCTGTAGTCTATACTGCAAGGTAAAGTCAAAGGTAAGCGGGGACCCGGCAGGGTTTAAGAAAACCTCAACGGAGCTGTTTCGAGCCGCAGCGAGCAAGGTTATGATTGCCAACATCCGAAACGGATAGGAACCAGAAGAAGAAGAAGAATGTTCAAAACTTGAACGTTCAAGACTTGAATACTTTAATTCCTTTATTCCTATTGGTCTATAGAAGTTCCGAACGTAAAGCAACTGGTTATTCTTCAATCTATGATGATTACATGAAGAGAAATAGAACATTCATCCCTGACATACATTGAAATTTTAAAGAATAATTGGAAAATGTCTATGAATTTGCTCCAAAAAGTTTAAAGCTTCAAAGTGATAAAGCCAAGGTCAGACTTGACATGCATACTACTGCTACAACTTTCGAAAGAGATGACCAGTATGGTTATACAATCCCACGCGTACGAAATTATTCCATATAGAAAAAATCCGTTGACAAAACCTAAGAAGTACCTATTTAAAAAATCTAGAAAGATCGAGATGTCATAGAAAAATTTCGAAATATCTATAGTTTATTTTTATGAACGAGAGAGTAATTAGCATAATTTTAACTGGTACCTAGGACCACTCCATGGGCGTGCTCAAGATTAATTGAAAAATTACTTTGAATAATTGTAAAAAATAAATGAATTATTTCAGTGTTATAAAGTGTTATGTGTATGTAAACAAAAGTGACCTCTTTTATTACACACTATATTAGAACTGACTGGCCTACATTAAAAAGGGTTTTAAAAAATTCACATTTTTTTTAATTTTTAAAAATTAAAAAAGAGAAAAAGAGTTTTTAAAACCGTCTAAGGTATGTTAAATAGATGAATAAAAATATTAATATAAAACTTACAGCTACTTGTTACAAATCCAAATCAGATTCAGAAGATGAACTTTCAGAACCAAGATTTATAATAACTGGCTCGATCATTTTATCAGTAATATCCAGCTTCCACATTTTTTCCTCTTCTTTAATAGTGTGATTTACTGCCTTTTCCCAGTTTTTACATTATTTACGGCCTCCAAAAACAACTGTTTAACATCATGAATTTTAAAAGTGGTATTTTTTCTTGAAACTTCACTCTTTATCTGTGCCTATACCAGTTCAATCGGGTTTAATTCACAATGATATGGTGGGGATCTAAGTACTGTCATTCCACGATTTTTGGCAATTTCATCAATTTCGTATTTTTTAAATTTTTCTTTATGAAGGGCACACAACGAATAAAGTTCCTTTCTTATAGATCCGGGATGGTACGTAATATTTTTTGAACTCAGCCAATTCTGCAAGTCTTTTTTTAACCACTTGGTTGTGGGCAGTCCTTCTATAAGTCTGGAGTGATAACTTTATCATTATCCATTACTATTACACAGTTCTTAGGAAGAAGATCTATCATTTGTTCGAACCATTCTTGAAAGACATCAGCGTTCATGTCTTCATGGTAGTCACCGGTACGAGTTAATTCAAAAGTTAATAAACCACCTTCAACAAAACCGTCTGAACTGCCAATGTGTATTATTATCAGCCTGCGTCCCTTTCCTGATGGTGGGTTTAAACCAGTAGATAAGTTTCATCATGTTTCATCAAAATAAAATATTTTTCTTTTTTGGTTTCTCATTTCATTTATGGTTCTTAGAAAATGTCTTCTCCATATGACAATATCGCTTCTTTTTAATAAAATAGACTTTCTGGGATTCTTTTTCCAGCGGAAGCCTATTTCTTTTAAAAGTTTCCATAACGTACTTCGACTCATTTCTGGGTAATCCTTATCATCTCGAACTGAGACAAGAACTTTATCCAATGTTGGAAATTCTTGTCTAAAGAAGAATTCATGCACTTTCCGTCGAAGTCCTTTTTTAAAATGATATTCTATTTGAAATTTTGGTTTCCCTGGAGCATTACGTGGCATTTGAAAACTACCACATTTCTCTTCTTTAATAACTCTGTAAATCGTAGATTTCCCAACACCAAGTGTACTGCTAACTAACTCAACGGTCTCATCAACACTTTCACATAAACGTTTGTCTGTAAATGATTTAAAACAATTAAATGTTAATGTTTTTTCATTAACTGTTAAAGGACCAATTTTTCGGCGTTTACACGGCACTTCCAAATTTTCCATAACACTAGTATACACAATAAACTGCACCTTGCAACTGAAGTACCTACTTTTAGTGAACTGTTAAGAATTTTGAATACGCCACTTGGACCTTCCTACAAAATGGAAAAACCCACTATCACATTTTCTGTGGAATAAGTTTAGAAGGTAATTATCTAGACAATTACTGTCGTAGATTCCTGGAATTAAAGAATTAAATGTTTGATTGTTGAAACCCTTACTTCGTGGAATGCACTCATTTCAGATAAAATAAAACGTTTTATTTTATCTAAAGAATTAAACTTTATTTTGCAAATAGGTAGGTACTCATTAAACTTTTATTGGTTATATGTAACCAATAAAATAAACATCTTACATTTCTTGCAAATTCATTAGTACCTGTTAACCTCCATCACTCCGACACTGGCAACCTTATTTAGGGATTAGTAACCTTCACAACTATTGTATTCTATTCTGCTCCAACCTTTATACTTGGTGGTCATACTCAATTTAAAATTGTTTTCCTATTATACTTCTGTAAACTTGTTGACAAATATCTGTTTTTCATTGAGTCACCCGTATCAACAGTTTAGGGATTTGCATACATAATTTATTGTTTTATTACTCTCTCATATATAAAAATACACTATAGTAACATCTGAAATGTCAGAAAATGTATATAAACTCAAGACAGTTAAATAGCAATATTATTTTGAAGTTTACATTTATTATTTTGTTAAGGTAATGTAAACAAGTTGGTGTTTAATTAAATTTATTAAAGAAGTGTAACAATTCGTTTATTTTAACGTATTGATTTCCACTTGAACTGAAATTGTGTGAAATTTCCATTAAAGATAGTAAATAATGTTGAAATTCCCCAAGAAAATAGCTACAGAACAATGCACGATCAAGGAATTAACCAAAATTTCAGTTTAAAATACATTTGTTTTGAAGTATCCATTTTCAGTTAAACTGAAATTGCGGTTAATTCCCATTAAAGATAGTAAATAATATTGAAATACCACAAGAAAATAGCTTTAAAACAGTTAGTCCAGGAATCCAATGAGCATTAGCTAGGAAAAACCTACTGATACGGATTTTTTGCACAATCTTACTCAAAAGGTCCCCTTTTAACTTTGCATGTTGCCAAGTCCAAAAGTGCTATAATAAACTGCTTCAGTATTTTTAATAGTATATAGTATAATATAATATTAAATAATATTGAAAGAATGTTTGTGATCTTTGACATCAAAAATTTTCTTTTTTCATCTTGTTTTTTTGAGTTGAAAATCACCAATTTTGCGTTTTTTCATAATTTAAATCGTTTTAAACTCGAAAACGGCGCATTTTAGAAAAATATTACAAAGAATCTTTTTTGTTTAGAAAGACCCAAAAACTATAAAACTTTTTCTGGAGCAAAGAGACCGATTTTTGCAATTTGTTAAAAAATTGTTTAAACAGTTTTTAACGCACTTTTAAACCTGGCAACATACAAATTTGTCAAAAGGGGTTTTTTAGTAAGATTGTGCAAAAAAACGAATTAGAATATTTTTCTCATGGAATGCGCAGTGGGTTCCTGGACTAGGTGTACTAACTTATTTGTGTATTAGAAAAAACGTGTCAATGTATCTTGTCTTCTGAAAACAGTTTTTGTAGAATGAAAACATTTTTGTGTGTTTTAGCATTAAACCAAACTTGTCGAATTAAAAACTTATTACGTTACCTTACAGCTATTGGAGTCTTCTTTCCTATTTCCGAAAACACCTTAGCGGCAGTGTATTTTGTAATATCATGAGTTACTTCAAAAAATCCAAAAGCTCCAGCGCCCTTTGCATGGACCACTCGTTCAGGGATTCTCTCTCGAGTAAAATGGGCGATTTCATCGATTAGATTATAATCTTGTAACAATATAGGTCCATGGTATCCAACCGTAAGACTGGCATCTTTTTCAGGAACAGAAACACCCCAGGTGTTAGTTATTTTTTCTTTATTATTCTGAAAAAGAATCACGTCGTTTCTGATTAAGAATCTGTCTCCAATTCGATGACTGACTGATTAAGTAAAACAAGATCGTAACATATCATACTGTGAACGCGGATGACTTCTAGACATAAAAGACAAACATTCATATGCCTTCTGTTGCCTAATACGCAGCCCTCTGTAGAATAATTTAAAAATTGTTAATTAAATATTTATCAAGAGCATTTTCTACGAATGTCTAAAGAAAATTAATTTTTATAATAGTTCTTCAATATTTTGGAGAATTTTTGAATTATTTATTATATCATTAACCCCTTAAGAAACTATCCCGAGGTAATTCGTCTCGCACTTGTTGTATCTAAAATAACCAACCCGAGATATCTCGTGTTGAGCTATTTAGTGGGAATTTAAGGAATTTATTTCGTTCTTGCAAATTATGCTTTCGGAATTTGAACGAATTTAGACGTAGTTGTTACAAATCCTGGCTGCATAATATCGACCCCTGCAAAGAATAACATTGTAACCAGCATTTATAATATTCTTCAGAAATGATAAAAAAGATACCAATTTCTTTGATTTCTTTTTTCATATGTATGTGACATTTTTTCAGTGTAAGAAGTAAGTAGTCATATAAATGTTAAACTCCTCTTTTACAATAAGCTCTACTTTTTTTTTATTGAAAAATAGGTTTTTGAACTGTGGCAGTTACAGTTTTTGATATAAATATAAAGTTTCATCGAATAATCTTGTAACTGCACTTACGATGTTCTCATCGGAAAAAGTTAATATGAATTACAAATTATTGCTCTTTGTAGGTTAAGGAATAATAACAGTAGATAGTTTTTAAAATACAAATTTTATTACAACGTATTCTCACAATAATGCCGCGAAATATTGACACACGACGTATACTATCTACCTGCATAATTATCGGAACTTAGCAACCAATGCGGCGAATAAAATTGTAGCAACAATTACGGTGTAATTTTTGAAAACTATGGTACGATACAGTATTTTTCGACGAAAATTTGATTTGGTTCAACGTCGTATTTGTAGTTACTCTGTTATTCTACAAATAATTCAATTTTTTTCATATATTTACGGTATTATTCCATTCTTAAGCTTTCTTATTAATGCAGTTACAGCCACACCGACCATGTTGGCAGAGAGAGCGTAAAAAGTTATCCAAGAAGAACACTCTAACTCAAAATTGACAAAAATGTTAGTTACAAGGTTATTCTATGCAGGGGTCGATATTAGACAATGGACATGTCGAACGGTCGAGGATATTTCATATAGCTGCCGGCCGATAAACATTTTATCAGCTTGCGTACGACGATAGCCAACGCTTGAAAACAAGAACGGAACACAAGGAAGAAGTTGTTACAAGGTTGTATATTGTCAATAACAGCTGGAAGGAGAAAGGAGGCTTGTAAATGACCACAGAAAGTGAAATGTTATCAAGTGACTAAGATTCCAATGAAGATGATGAGAGTGCAACCGGTTTACTTCAAGCAGTTCGGCAATGGGTTAGGGTTGATGCAGACCGACCAGGCCCGGCTCCATCAAGGTTTTCTTTTACTGGAAAATGGGATTGTCATTTCGATATACACGACATTGAAAATAATGTTGAATTTTTCAATATGTTGTTCGATAATGGACCAATGGACAAAATTTTTTAAGAAACAAATCGTTTTGCTAATGAGCAAAGGCGATCAGGTCTTCAGAGAGTTATAAAAGAGAACAAATGGACACCAAAATTATATTACTGCAGAGCTTGGTAAAGAAACAAGTCTACTGGTTTTATTGGCCAAAAAAAATAATTGGAAAGCCTTTTTCCGTAAGATGATGAAATATAAAAAAGGTTCTTCAAAATAAAGCAATACCTGCATTTTTCTAATAATGAATCTTTTCACAAAGATACTCAGCCAAGTCCAAAACTGTATGAGATCTGGAAACTTTATAAATACCTAAATGCATGTACAAATCATTGTATAATTTTGAAAGGCATGTAACAATTGACAAGAGCTTACTTTTCCACAAAGGCAGACTCGAATAGATTCAATACATTTCAAACAAAAGGACACGATTTGGTATAAAGAACTACATGCTGTGTGAATCCTCCTCTGATATTTTTGGCATAACATAATTTATACGGGAAAGGATACAAAATTTGACGAACAATATAAAAATCTTCGAGTGTCAACAAGTATTGTAATGATGCTAATGAAACCTCTACTTTCGAAAGGTCACTATTTGACTACAGACAACTTTCATACATCACCTGAACTAACTGACCTTTTATTAGCAGTTTTCACAGATACTTACGGTACTATTAGAATGCAAAGAAAGGATCTACCAGTACCACCAAAAATAAAGAACACACTTATGGATAATCGCGTTTCAAAAAGGAAATGCAATAGCAATGATGTGCAAGGATAAACGGGAGAGGTTTGTGTGCTGTTAATGTTGCTTAATGCCTAAATGTTTATTAAAAAAAGGCGAGGAAAAAAGATAAAAAAACCTAGGATTATTCAAGACTACAACAATACTATGGGTGACGTCGAAAGAGTCGACCAACATCTTGCTGATTACCCTATAACTTGTTACACATTAAGTAATTTTTCCATTTGAATTCGACTACGTTAGATTTGAATATTTAGGAGTCAAAACACATTTCTCATTATCATTGATAAAGTGTTTTTTGGTCACCAGAAGAGCTTTTACTTTACCACAACGATATACTAGTATGTTGTATATTTTTCTGTAACTATTGTATAAAAGCAGCATGGCCAGAAATAATATGTTTTATTAAAAACATTTTCTTCAGTTAAACTAACTATAAGGACAACAATTTTACAATAAAGGAGTATTAATGTGATAATTGATAAAAAGTTGATCAAATAACGGACAAGGAATGGCAATAAGTACGACTTGGGTCTGCAATTTCAAAAGCCTATATGTTTCTATTAAACTGGGAATAAGCCACAATTAAAGATAAAAATACGTTTATTGACGTTTCAATTTCCACTTCGGAAATCGTTCTCAAAATACAAACAGTAAATTAAACAAATTTTGTTTTTTGTTACATAGTGAAAAATTCTTCTAATAATTTAATTTTATCTGACTCATTTATATTGACAATTCAGACATACATAATGCATTTTAAAGTAGACGACTTTAAAATGATATTTCCAATATTGTTGAGTTGCGCTCCTGGGACGACTTTACTTATAAGATAGTTCATTCGATTACATGAAATCAACTTTAACTTGAGAATATCCGTCAGCAAAAAAAATCGTAGCATGTAATTCGTCTTTAAATAGACAAACACATGACATGATGACAGTAAAATTCTCCTGTTAGTGATTCCATAGTAAATTATGAGGGAAAACCAGGAAAAAAACCTCATAATACTATCCCGACATTGTAAGTATTTGTTCGTGAATTTAGTTTACCTTCAACAAACATCAAAATTCTGATTTTATATGTTACGTTATTTAAAAAACATAAATGATGTATCCTCTATATGTTACTGACTTACTAATACTGGTATTTTTTTATTAATAACTTCCTCTTTTAATATTGGTAACCAGATCCTACTACATTCTGCCGAGGAATTTGCGACACAATTGGCCTCATTTAGCATAATTAGAGCCGCTTCTTTGATTTTTCTTTTTTTACCATCCGTTTCTTTTAGGACTACATTTGAATTATTCCATTGAACCCTATGTTCATTATCCCATGCGTGTTTACAGATTTGAGATCTATCAAATTCTTTATTTTTAATATAAGATTGATGTTCACTTATTCTAACATTTAATGGCCTTGATGATTCACCTAAATAAAACTGATCGCATTCACAAGGTATTTTATAAATGCAATTCTTTGTCCTTTCTTGTTCATTGTTAGGTTTGGTTTTGGACAAAATAGATCTCAACGTGTTTGTTGTTTTGAATGTTGTTGAAATGTTGAATTTATTTCCTATCCTTTTAAGTTTTTCTGATAGTCCTTTTATATACGGTATTGTTATATTCCTCATATTATTCCTTGTGTATGCTGTAGGATCTCATATATGTATCTATGATAGGAAATAAATTCAACATTTCAACAACATTCAAAACAACAAACACGTTGAGATCTATTTTGTCCAAAACCAAACCTAACAATGAACAAGAAAGGACAAAGAATTGCATTTATAAAATACCTTGTGAATGCGATCAGTTTTATTTAGGTGAATCATCAAGGCCATTAAATGTTAGAATAAGTGAACATCAATCTTATATTAAAAATAAAGAATTTGATAGATCTCAAATCTGTAAACACGCATGGGATAATGAACTTAGGGTTCAATGGAATAATTCAAATGTAGTCCTAAAAGAAACGGATGGTAAAAAAAGAAAAATCAAAGAAGCGGCTCTAATTATGCTAAATGAGGCCAATTGTGTCGCAAATTCCTCGGCAGAATGTAGTAGGATCTGGTTACCAATATTAAAAGAGGAAGTTATTAATAAAAAAATACCAGTATTAGTAAGTCAGTAACATATAGAGGATACATCATTTATGTTTTTTAAATAACGTAACATATAAAATCAGAATTTTGATGTTTGAATTTTACTGTCATCATGTCATGTGTTTGTCTTTTTAAAGACGAATTACATGCTACGATTTTTTTTTTGCTGACGGATATTCTCAAGTTAAAGTTGATTTCATGTAATCGAATGAACTATCTTATAAGTAAAGTCGTCCCAGGAGCGCAACTCAACAATATTGGAAATATCATTTTAAAGTCGTCTACTTTAAAATGCATTATGTATGTCTGAATTGTCAATATAAATGAGTCAGATAAAATTAAATTATTAGAAGAATTTTTCACTATGTAACAAAAAACAAAATTTGTTTAATTTACTGTTTGTATTTTGAGAACGATTTCCGAAGTGGAAATTGAAACGTCAATAAACGTATTTTTATCTTTAATTGTGGATTATTCCCAGTTTAATAGTAATTAATTTACAATGCCACAAGAAAATAGCTTCAGAACAATATTAAGAAACCTATATGTTTCGTTAAATACTAATATAACAATGATAAAAATGAGCGCGCTCAAATGGAAAAAAAGGTATCAAGTTAAAACACTAATAAATGGAACTTACAAGCATTAAAAGAGACAGAAAACTGAATTTTAAACAACAGATCAATGCAAATATATCCAACCTTCTGAGTCAACTTACAAACATAAACGAAAGATGGCAAGAATTGAAAATAAATAAATGAAACTCCAAATAAAGTAATAGGAAAGAAAAAAATAACAACAAAAGTAAAGATCACGACTAAAAAACAGACTACGCAACTACGAAACAATAAAAAATTTCGACAGAATGACACGGATCAACAACCCATCAGAAAAAACTGGGAAAAATAAAGGTGAGAGTGAGAAACAAAGCCAACAGAACAAATAAAAAGAAGAAAAATGACTGGTTTAAAAAAAGCTAGAGGATATTAAAAAAAAATAGAAAAAATTATAAAAGAAATCAATTTTACAAAAAAGTCAGATCACCAAAAAAAATTCGTCCAGCATAAAACAAGAGGAAAAAAAGACCAAAAAGGAGAAATCCGTTTTTGAAGAAAAAACAGATTAGTAGAATATGGGTAGAATATTACGAAAACATGATTTTTAATACGGAGGAAATACACTGCGCTGATGAAGGACGACTAATAATACAAGATAATAACGTAACAGACATTTTCACAGAAGAAGGAGAACAAAATTAAACATTTTCGAAACCGAAAAGCAGCAGAAGATGAAATAGTAAGTAGACTTAATAAAAACAGAATAAGACAATTATATAAAGAAATAAACACACTAATACAACAAATATGGACAAAAATTAGACTACCAGATGATTCGAACAGAAGTGTGATGGTACCTATCTATCAAAAAGGAGATCGGTGGAGTGCGAGAATTACAGAACAACCACCCTTTTAAATACCATATACCTATAAAATTCTAGCAAAAATACTAAATATGAGACTTAAATCATGCGCTGAACGAATATTAGAAGAATATTAGAATGGGTTTAGACCGGGGAGATTGATAATTAATCGATATTAATCATACATATTGTTATGAAGCTGTTTTCTTGAGGCATCTTAAAGCTTCGTTCTTGAGACCTATTTCCGAAGTGCAAATTGAAACATCAATAAACTTATTTTAAACTTCAATTGTGGCTTATTTCCATTAAAATAGTAATTATTTCATCATACATATGGTGGAACAAATAATTTAAAAAGTAATAGAATACGACAGAAAAATGCAGGTACTATTTATAGATTATAAGAGCGCTTTTAATACTATTAATTGGACGAAAATGATGGAAGAGCTAAAGGATCTTGGACTCCCAAAAAAATTTAGACATATGCTAATAGTGAGTTGAATGATAAGTTTTAATGGAACAATTTCTAAGGAGATCAAAGTAACAAAGGCGTGAAGCAAGATGACTCTATCTTTCCGACACTGTTTAACCAGACATAAAAAGCAATAATAGGCAGGACAAACTTCGTAAATAAAAACATTATTACAGATCAACTTCAAGTAATACCATATACATACATATGACAGTCATCATAGCAAAGACGATGACACTTATAAGAGCAATTAATAAGAGCACAACAACTAATATCTAATAACACAGAACCACAAATTTAAAACTGTATTCTTCTTAATTGAGAGTAGCAATTGGGAAAACCGAAAAAGAGAGAACAGAGGAAAGAATTCTGAAAAAAATATATGGAATGAATAGAAATCTACTAAGAAGCGAGACTTTAAGTAAGAGAACAAAGATGAACCTATATAAGACTTTAATAGGACCTGTTACATATGGAATGTAAACAACGACGATTAACAAGAGAAAGATAGCCTACTGAAATTTGAAAGACAAATAATGAGAACGATACCGGGCCCAAATGTAACAAGAGAAGGAGAAAGAGAAATGGAAACAAATTTCGAAATTAAATAAGAATTCATTCAACTCAAGTCAAGAAAAAAATATAGTCTGTTACATAAAATCTCTTCGCTTTGAATGGATAGAACATTTACAGAGACGCCCACACTAAGAAATGCTAAGAAGGATAACTAACTGGACCACACCAATGTGGCCACCAGGCTCTACACCAGCAGGTACAGAAAAAGGCCTAGAAGACTATGGCTGGATGATGTAGAAGTTGATATAAGAACAATAAATGTGAAAGACTGTAAAGTTCAGTGTAAACACAGGAAGAAATGGAAAATAGTCACGACAGCCAGCAAGCTGCGTGATAACATAGAGGAATAATCCACCTCTCCCAAGAATAGGATTTTGAACGCCAGGGCGTTAGCTTTAATCACAGAAAATTGTAAAGCTTATTGAATGAATGAATGTAAAATATGTAGTGATATGAAACTATATCAATAAATATGCGGATTTTAGTTTTGTCATAAGTAAACATTTTATCAGGTGTTTTGCTTACCTCATGATCTTTGCTATATTCTGAAAGCTGTTCTGCAGCTATATCTCTTTTTGGAATAGACATTTTAACATCTATTTGTTATATCGGATAAGTAAAAACAAAATCTACCAACGTGTTTTCAATGTCACCTTTTATATATGTACAATAGTTTTATTTATCCAAATTTTATCAAAAACTATCATGGGCCAATGACCGATGCGGTGAAATAGTAAGTAAATTTTAGGGTATTAACCTATCTATTTTTGTTTTAATTTATTTTCAATAAAATCTGTTTTATCCAAATATACTACGGTTCTGAGAGTTCTTCTATGAATTTTACCTTATAATTATGTTTGTTGGTATTTGCTCTATGGAGTCTTCTTGTTTTGTGATCCAATCTTTTTTCTTTTATGTACAGAGGAGTGAATCGTGGTCTTTCATTTCATATTTCACCATTCACGAATCATTCTTCTTCTTTTGGTACCTATTCGTTTTGAATATTGGCGATCATTCTGGCTATAATTATTTTATTTACTGATGATTTAAATAGATTAGTTGTTGTTGTGGAGAACCATTTCCTGAGGTTTTTTAACCATAATATTCTTCTTGTCCCAATTCCTCGCTTTCCGAATACCTTGCATTGAAGGATTATTTTTAGTAATCTGTATTTAGTGCTATTTTCATTATGTGTCCGAGATATTCCAACTTTCTCCTTTTAATCGTATACATCACTGCTCTTTCTTTTCCCATTCCCCATAGTAGAGTTTTGATGGTTATCTTGTCCGTCCATGAAATCCTTAGGAGTCTTCTGTATAGCCACATCTCGAAGGCTTCAAGTTTTTTCTCCAACGCCTCAGTGAGTGTCCAGAATTCAATTCCGTAGTATAATATCGAGAAAATATGACATCGTAGGAGGTTTTGCGGAGAGTGCGGAAAGAGAAAGAGCTGATACTTACTGTTAAAAAGCGCAAACTACAATATTTGCGACATGTTATGTGGGGAGATAAATACCAGTTGCTGCAATTGATTATACAGGGAAAGATAATGGGAAAGAGATATATAGAAAGAAGAAGGCATTCATGGTTGAAAAACTTGAGAGAATGGTACAATTGCACCAATTACCAACTGTTTAGATCTGCAGCATCAAAAATACGCATAGCTTTGATGATAGCCAAACTTCGGAACGAAGACGGCACTTGAAGAAGAAGAAGGAGCCTTACTTTTATATCCAGATTAAGGTTGTTCCTTTTAAAGAGTTTGGCCATGTTGTTGAATGCACTTCTAGCCTTCTCAATTCTACATTTTACTTCTTGTCAGTGATCCCACTGTTCATTTACTATTGTTCCAAGATAAGTAAACTGTTTTACTTGGTTCACTGGTGTATTCTTGATAAGCAGTTGGAGGTCTCTAATTTTATGTTTGCTGATCATCATAAATTTAGTTTTTGATATGTTTAATTGTACTCCAAATCTTTCACTTGCCTTATTAACTTTGTTTATTAGTTTCTGTAAACTGTTTAAACTGTTAGCAAAAATAACGATGTCATTTGCATAGCGGATGTTGTTTAGGCGTTCTCTATTTAAAAGGATGTTTAAAAAAAGGCAATTTTCCACGGCTTTACTAAATCGAATCAAATTTTATTCGCATTTTTAAAATTGACTAGTGTGCATATTATAGGTTTTCATCTTAATGCTTTCATTTTAATTATTTTTTTAACTTGAAAATTTGTTCTGCGCGCGATCTGTTCTGTCTGACTCCGGCTAATTTTGGTTCTATATGTTATTCATATTTTTGATTAACGGACGATAGATAAACCAAAAAGATTCTGAACTGGCGACCAAGGCAAGAGGCATATCGAAGCAGAGCACGACCACCGACTAGATTGACGGATGATATCAAGCGCATCACCACAAACTGGATGCAAGAAGCTCAAGATAGAAATAGGTGAAAAATTTTACGGGAGGCCTACGTTCAGTAGTAGACAAATATAGCCTAATTGATGATGATGATGATGATGATGATGATATTTCTTTCTTCTTCTTCTTTTTTATGTAGACATGACTGTCTGATTTTCAATGTGCCTCCAGTAAGTTGTCGATCCATCGTTTTTGTGGTCTTCCACGAACCGTCTCTTGCCGTCTTTACTACTCTATTTGTTGTCATTCGGCTTATATGATCGTTCCATTCAACTCTTCTATTTCTTTCCAGTTCTTGATGTTCTCCATCTTGCATCTACATCGTACATCTGTACTTCTAGCTCTGTCCCATAGTGTCTTGCCATCAATTTTTCATCTCTGCTGTTTCTAACATCCTTTTTGTCCTCTCTGTGTCAGGTCATGTTTCTGCCGCATATCTCATTATTGGTTTGATGACTGTTTTGTAAATTCTTCTATTCATATTTCTTTTATATTATTGCATACAATAATATTTATATTTCTGGTATAATTTTTGATATTTCTTCTAGAAATTTTGATCCTAAATGTTTCAAAAATTCGGCCACTATCGCATCTTCTCTTGATGTTTTGTTATGTTTTATAAAAATAACCTATATAAATATTATTAAACGTGGATAAATTGTAATAAGTATTACTAAAAGGTTGAATGCTCGAATAAATGAACTTTGATAATATAAAAGGCAAATATCGAGCACAGTTTAATTCATTTAATCTTACTAAAGTACTTTCGATCCCTAGATCGTCTTCAGGGGCATCTGAAATAAGCCAAGAAACGGTTTTTTAACTAAAGAAATTAATTAACTTCGATAAAAACTCGAAGTTTATGGTTGATAAAAGTTTTTATGTGATTAACGTTTATAGACTTATTCGTCAATTGCGGCCTATACGACAAGAATAAAATGTCATAAACATAAATTGGTGCATTACACTACACTACACAAGGACAAATAAACACTTTAAAATTTTTGAAAATACGCGAAACTACATTGTCTATAGAAGCTGGAGACAGAATGGCTCATGGTCTAACGGAAATGTTGAGGTGACATGTGACAAATGACAGCTTGGATGGGCAGTCACAATCATAGATATGTGATCTGCACATTTCAAATTCTATGAAACTAAGTATTGACTCAAGGTCCAACTGTCACCACTATAGGAAATCAACTGACGAAATAGAAAATTATATAAAATATTTTTTAAGTAGATTGAAAAATTCAGATCTCACATTCAAACCTGTCTATAATAATTAGGGTGTTAGTTTGAGAGCAACTGAAGTCGACATAAAGTATGAATGCAAGCAATAGACTAAACAATATATTAGACAGTCGATAGTTGACTACAATAAAATGGTCTACCAAGCACTATCAGTACTGTAGAAAAGAAGAAATCTGACTACGCAATTAAAATACTAAAAATTAAAAATCAAAATTGAAAGCAAAATATATAAATGGGAAATAATCCAAGTAGTTCAGTTGAACCCACAGTCAATGGTAGAACTATAAAATTAATATGGATATACTCAGTGCGGGAAGTCTAAACAGCCGAGCTGGGTCCCCTACGAGGTGAAGCTGTATTGAAGTTTTTAAAAATAGGTTTAAATTTAGTATAATTTAAATTAATTTGAGTATTAAGACAGTGAGAGTTTCTATTTGCTTCCCTTGTAATCTCCAAATCTTCCAATAAATCCAACTCCAGATATTTTTTCTTTCTACTAATGTCAGGTTAGATAGATGAACCAAAATTGATATTAAAATTGTGTTTGCTAGATAATAAGTGTTGACCAAAAAAGAGTTTGGTCTTTTCAAATGATCAGAAACTCTGGTGGACTTCTAATGGTTCTACCTACATAAGAGGCATCACAATCATCACATTTTATTCTTGTCGGATAAGCCGCAATTGACGAAGTAAGTTTATAAACGTTAATCACGTAAAAACTTTTATCAACCATATACTTCGAAGTTAATTAATTTCTTTAGTTAAAAAAACGTTTCTTGGCTTATTTCAGATGCCCCTGAAGATCTAGGGATCGAAAGTACTTGGGCAATATTAAATTAATTAAATTGTGCTCGATATTTACCTTTTATATTATCAAAGTTAATAAGTTTTAGTTGATACAAATTGTATAGTATTAAATTCGATTTAACACAATATTTACAAATTTACCGGCATACCATGTATAAAAAATTCTACTGTTCTACTATTACTACTATTACTACTACTAAATTCTACTATTTTATTCAGTCAATTTAAATTTGGTGAGTATTCGGTTGATCCAGATTCCAGAGATTTCATTCAGCTTTATCCCCTTTTAAATCGGATTTGATCCTCTTTGCACATCTGCTTCCCTGTACCACGAATCCAGCGTTGATCTGCCTGCCACACTCCGGCTGCAGAGAAAATTAATTGGATATAGAGCGGCGCTGGATTATCTCAAATCCGACGCTCGGCGGCGCATATGAGAGTGGATATGACGCATCCGTTTCGTCGACCGTTTTCCTTACAGAGCAATTCGGAAATCAAAAAGAATGATAATCCTTTTATTTCAATAATAAATAAATTTTCCAAAAAAATAGTTCTTTACGTATTTTATTAATTTTTACTTATTTTAAATAATTTTCCGGGCATTATTAAAACATATTGAAATGCCACAAACAACTTTGCAACAATATCATTTTTATATGAACTACATGAATTTTAACACATTTGATTGTAGTAATAGACTTTCCATTAGACATACACATTTTGTACATTTATACCAAAAGTACATTTTATTTCTTATAAAATTGCCAAAACATTGTATAATGTTGTGCATTGTGTGCATTGAATCTGATCATTTTATTTGATTTGCTGTGATCATCTAACAGCTTGTTCTTCTTCTAGTGCCGTCTCCACTAATGAAGGTTGGCTGTAACCATTGCAAATTCGTCTCTATCTTCTGCTTTTCTTAAGCGTGTCTGTGTTTTCTAAGTATGTGCTCCAAATATGCTGTCTTTCGCCTTTTAATGGTGATCAAAAGTTCTCTGTCTCTTCCCATTCTGTACAACATCATTTCGTTCGTAATATGATCGGTCCATGGTATCTTCAAAATTCTCCTAAAAAGCCACATCTCAAAAGCTTCCAGTTTTCTCA